TTATCAAAATTGAGGACTCTTTTTTTCTTTTAAATTATAAAACGGATTTAGATTGATTAGCTATCTGAAGACTTACTAAAAGTGTACCCCAGCCTTGACTACATTTCTAAATGATGATTGAAAACATGAATAGATGTACAGAAGAACAAGTTACCAAGTCTCTGAAAGTCCCGCTTAATTCTTTGACACCCACTGATTTATTCTGAGGAAAGATGATAAAGCTGATGTCTTTAGAAATTCTTCTGTGTGAGTCTACATAAAATGTCCATGCCACTTAGAAAAAGACTAAAAAGCGAATTAAAAAGAATTTAAGAACTCACTTTACGCTGAACTATCAAATGACATCGTTCCACAGGATATGCCTACGTTCACAATTTATCTAATGTTTCTTTGTCAAAAAACACAAGAAATTCTGTTAATAGGTTTCAAGTTCTGTGTCCCCGAGAAAAAAGTAAAGCCAATTTGAAAATCTTCATGTTGAATTTATGTGACTATATGCTGCCTCATTTGACATTGAAAGCTGGCTGCAATCAAAGAAGGCTGACACTGCCCATCAATTTCAAATCACACCGTCCAATCAAAAGTTGTATGTTACCAAAGAACACTGAAGATCTTTGCATAAGCCTCAAAAAGACAATAATATTGTCATTTCACAATCTGATAAACCACAGAGTGTAGTAGTAAGGAGTAAAATGGATTATATCGAGAAAATGCATCGAATTCTCTCTAGTGAATCTAAATTCAAAATGGATAATCACGCAAAAGTCACACATTGTTGAGTGAAGGAAACGTTGTGCAGCATTAACGGAAACTGTTCAAAAAGAAATACATTGATAAAAATAAATGTAGGAATATCAGACCGCTTGGGTCGCAAATCTCAAAATTATATGGGCGTAATAAAATACAGAAACCGGGAGCTCCGTTGGGACCTATACTCTAAGTGATAAATTCGCCATACGACAAATTAGCATGGTGTCTTTGCGAATTATTTCAGACCTCACGAAAATGTTTTGAATCGCATATATATGTTCTGATTCATTTCACTTTGTCAAACAAATTACTGATTTCTTTGTACCTGATGAGCATTGGTCTGTTTCGATGTCACTTCCCTCTTCATAAATGTGCCAGTCGTTGAGACAATTGACTTAATATGCAAAGAAACTGAAAACATACCCATTTCGACACCGGATTGGAGGAGATTGTTACTTTTCTGTACTGAAAATGTCCAATTCCAACTCGATAGGTGTGTGTTCACTCAAATTGACTGTGTCACAATGGGAAGCCTCACGAGACCACTTTTTCGGGTTTATTCATGTCAGGCCTAGAAGCCAGTATTTTGCAGTAACATATACAACAAACGGAAGCATACCTAAGACATGTTGATGATATTTTTATTGTCTGTGAAAGCAGATCAAAAGCTGAATACATGTTGATAAAATTCAACTCATGACATCCGAATATCAACTTCACAACGGAAAACGAGAAAAATGGTACTATCGAATTTCTTAACATTTTGCTAGTGAAAAGGACTGTTGCCTCAATCGAAAGTTCTGCATTTAGAAAGTTTTCATGGACAGGAGAGTACATACATTTGAAGACCTTTGTTTCAATCCAGTATAAAATGAAGTTAGTCAGAACACTCCCTGCTCGATTGGCCACTGAAATTTCGTTCGGACAGTAGGATCGAGCAAGAGATAGAGGCTGTGACGGATATTTTATCTAAGAATGTACATCTTGAGAAGTTAATGAATGAATACTCTAAAGAGATGAGCCCCTTCGAAACTGTTCAAAGGGCTCTGAAGAAATCTGTGTATATGAATTCGCCACTCAAGCCGGATGACGTACAAGAGGTAGTCAGATGAATACTCGATCAATCTATCAAGAGAACTTGTTATGTTGCGAAACTTGTCTTCCTTAACATCTCCGAGCGAGTATCCCAACAATCTGGGAAAGACCGGTCAACAATCCTGGACACTCCACAAACTACTGAGTATATCAATCTGTGTGTGTTTGTGGAAGCCAATATATAGGTTATACAGAAAGGCGATTGTCTCCTCGCATGATGGCACATTCGCCAAGGTAGTTGAAAACGGCTGAATTCAAATTGTTGAAAAGATGAATAACGAAGCATATTGTGGACTATGGAGATGATATCGACGCTGTCAAGTCAATCTCTATTGTGTGCAGACAAAGGAGCCGAAAGACTCCTGCAGTTGGAGAGGTTTGTGCAACTCGAGTTTATAAACCAAGTCTCTGTTTATAAAAAAAGATGGTCGTTACTTTGAATCTTTCATGATAATACGTTTCACTTATTAACTTTTATTATTATTATCAATATTATTCACACTTTATCCTACCTCTTATTATTTACTATTCTTGACTCATTTGAGACTATCTTTTATCAGAAGCATTATCTTGACTCACTTGAGCCTTATTACTGATAAATACTAAACCTATTACTATTAATAATACTCAGTTGGGAATTCTTGATATATTCTCTGATAACTATTTGCTTATCTAAGGGATGTATTTGAAGCGTAATGCGTTCTGTCTAAGTTTTAATCTCTCATATTCCCCAAATCCCTTTTGTCTATTTGAACATAACCTTGAGGACATTCTGAAGTGTCATTCTGCTTGATTAATTCAATGTGGCTTATCTGGTTATCAGTCTTGCATCTCCCAATGTTTTTTCTGTAGTATTTATATCCCCGCACGTAGAGTATTCGGCTGAGGAGTTCTACGGAAATTTGATGAATTCATTGAATTCTACTTTATTAACCTTTGTATCTTGTTTTAAATTCGTATAGGGAAATAATTGTTTCTAAGGAAAAGTAATTTTCTTTGACTTTCTTAAATGCACGGTGATATTTCTTCAACCAAGTGTATCTGCAATACTTTGACACGACAGATGTCCTGCGAATCAAGCGTATAACAACGTTTATATAGGAACAAGAAAGCCACTGATTTCAGTTGGCAAGATTTTGTCTCCGTGTAACACTAATTTTAAGGTGAAAAAGACCACTCTTTCATACAGGTGTGAATTCCGCTTTTGTTAATCGTATGCACTACAAAACCTTAGTTTTCTTAATACAGTGAATTACCCCGATTTATTACGAACTTCTGTGCTGGAGAAGGTAAAAATTTCAGCATATATTTGCCTCATTTTTTTCTGTTGGTTTCAATGTTGCATCGAAGAATACCTTTAATCTGCTTAAAGTACTACAGATGACCGTTAAAAAAGTCTTTTACAGAAGACTGGGTTCAACTCGGGAATTTTTGACTACCGACACCACTGAATGTCCTGCTAAAAACAGATATTATAAAATGTAGTGTTTTTCACAAGCCTTCGTGCACTCACCTAAAGAAGAATCACAAATGAGTATTTTACTGCAAGTTAACTGACTTCTAGAAATTTCCCAGCTCAATCCAGATCCTGTGGTCTGTATCCTAGAAAAGTTGTGAGGTTATGGATACCAATAAAAGATGGAAGAATACCTTTCCAAAGTAGCCTAGAAATCCGTAAGCCAAGTAATCGTAAATGTATGTGGGCTAGCCATTGTGTCTTTGAGCGTAGTTTGATGCTATATTAAACTTTCCACTTATTTATTCGAGTGGCACCAGAGGTAACCGGAAGGACAGTCGTTGATAGCTTCGATACTTCTATATACTTTCACGCTGCATATATATATTTATATATCGTGTTCTTCATATATTTTCAAGTATTGGTTTTGTAGGGATTTTATTGCATTGTATGGACGATTTAACCATGAGCTGACATCAGTTAGAGAACCACTGGAAAACCTGGGAGTACTGGACAGCTATTTCATCCTAGTTTGGAACTCTTCAGCAGTACGCACCCACCGGGGTTCGAACCCAGGACCTTCTGCATATATATATATATTTATATATCGTGTTCTTCATATATATATGAAGAACAAATACGGTATTTTCAACAATTTTTTTTCAACACTACAGATAAGCTTCTTAAAACATTTAGTCCCTTTGATAAATTTGAATAAGGCATTAAGAAGACAAATTTTGCAAGATGATATCATTTCTTAGTTTCTTCACAACCACTTTGCAACTAACACGGTTCACAATAATAATACAATAAAGATCATGACAATTACTCAGTTAAATAGAAAACAAAAGTACATACTAATGACCAATCATATGGAAATAGGTCATGTAGTCCAGGGTAGGCGAAGATTGAAGTCTAATTGATTTTTGTACACACAGTTTAGGCTGTGTGTGATTAATCCGAGAGGCTTCCATCACCTTCACTAACCTTGAATTAAAGTTATGTGAAATAATTGCGAAACAGATAAGCTTCTGTTTAATATGCTGATAGGTGAAGCTTGAAGTAGTAATTTTTATTCTAGTAGTCAGTACGTCCATATCTTAAGAAAGTATGATAAGGGCTATTTTTCTGCTTGAATTTGATTCTTTGAAACCAAAGAACGTAGTTCCTTTCTGTGATAGATAAACAAGTGAATAACAACCAGACTGAGGCAATCTAAACACTGAACGGTCGTTTTACTCGTTTGAGGGGCTTAGCTTATCAGCCATGTACCCCGTGTAACTCAGCGCGGATAGCCGAATCAGTCCAGACCTGTCGATTTCCGGCTAGCTGCATGAGTGAACCGATAATTCCATAGATCCAATTTTCGAAACGAAATTTAACCACAGTTTCCTTTGGAAATGGAAATCACTGAGATGACAATGTTTGATCTGTTTGATATCATAAATGACGATTAAGAAAACAAGCACATTAACTGAGATGAGTAACTGTATACCTCTCAAATCAATCAGCAATTTTTGTTAGCCAGATCGAAATGATGTGAATGTCGGAGAACCTTTTAGATTACTTGCAGCCTAGTCCATATTCACGGTTGTAGAGTTATGTAAATAACCACCTTAAGTTAAATATGTGATTGGTTATTATTCTGTTACATGAATTCTGTCGTAAGACAAATCGATTAAGGAAGTCAGTATATTTCTGCGAATTTTATTATACATCAAAGAAAGAGAAAAAAATACATCTGACAAAGTGCTTAACTAACCAAAATGAAAAAATTAACTGTTACATAACATCTTCATAATTAGTAAGAAATGAATAGTGATGATTATCATCTTAGTCTATGGTACAATCACTGTACAGTTTTCAGTGGAATCAAGACTTGTAATTTTTATAAAAGTGTCATTATTGTAGACACAATAAACACCAAAATAATCCGACCAATTAATAAATATTCGGCATAAAATACTTGAAGCAAGTAGTAATAATAAAATTAGTATAAATATTATCCTGTTTCTGATGATTGTTTTGCTTAAATGTTTCTTATGGCTATTGGATATTCTAACTGAGTTGTCACTTCCCTTCGTGAATTCAGTTAGTTCATCACGTTTCTTTGAGAGTATATCACCTAATAATTTGAAAAACAAGGAAAAACAATAAAAAATAATAATCCCTTATTTCTATGCTTCAAATATTTTGTATAAAATATGGTTATCTTGAATAATTTATCAGCAATTCGCATGATAATTTAATGGCCTAATGTGGTTTACTGTTTTCAGTGGTTTAATGAAATAGCTTACTCAACACCTTGATAGTGAATAGCCCCATGATGGAAAGTATTCGAGAGGAATACGTTTAGCATATTGTTTTACAAGCTATCCATAGAATATTATCATTCTAAGTACTTTTGAGACCTAGGCAGTCGAAACTTTTGATAATGTAGGCTCATTTAAACAATCCCATTAGGATGTTTATTGAATATATCACACAGTGAATCATTATTATTTACTGGATGACGTGTCGAACAAAATTTATTGTTCATAATTATGTCAATTATAATCACACGACTTGGAAACTTGAGTTTTATAGTTCTGTTTGCCATCTCTTAATACCCTTCAATGATTGTTAGGCCAAATACATAAGTCAGAATAGTAGGACAGGTGCAGCTAGACTAACCGAGTATAAAAACCTGGCAAAATCTAGATTAGTTAGTCCGAATATGAGGAGAAATCTGTGCGTTGGTGGCACAGTGGTTAGGACTCTCGCCGACCATGCAAATGGTCCGGAGTTCGATCCCCTACCGACGCACACCTGATATCAGTTGGTTGTCCTGCAAAGTTTAAGCTGCCAATATCGCATGCTGAAAATTCCATGCCTGTACCAAAAATGCGGTGTGGAATCAAGCTATAATCAAAACAAAAATATAGCGCTACATGCAATTACACACATCCATACCATACGATTGGATAAAATGACAGTTTTACAATCTAATGTCACAGGGTGGAGGGAGAGATTGATAACAGAAGCTTTGTTTATCAAATCAACTGCAAATACATGTAATAGAAATGATTCAACACCTGTCCATGCGGACATCTGGAAAATTCTACTACGCCTAGGATAAATAGGAGAGAACAAAGAAGACTACACAACTCAAGTCTCAAAGTCGTGTGATTATAATTGATGAAATAATCATGAACAATAAATTTTGTTCGAAACCTCATCATCCAGTAAATAATACTGACTGATTCACTGTGTGATACATCTAATAAACAAACTAATATGGAATTACTTATTACCACAGTGCCCAAGTTTTACACATATATTAATCCCATTAGAAAATACGTATTCTCGGATATTTCTGCCCAGACTTTACAAGCGTGTACTACAACATTAATCGTAGACATTTGAAACCAATATGATTACTAGAATTAAAATTCAGGCAAATCACTGCAACCGAAATGGTAACAAGAGTAAATTTATGCAAGTATATATATAATCTAAGCAGTCCATTATTCTGAGTAGAATGTAAGCAGAGTATATATATATATTTATAGGATTTGGGGTAGGACAAATAGCCATTATCTCATAGTGATTCCACACCAGAGAGTTTGACTTTAAAATAAATTGAGAGATGAGGAAGCAAATATGCATCTGTGTTGTAGTATGATAATAATAATAATAAATATTTCATCATGAGCTGATATAAGTTAGAGAACCATTGGAAAACCTGGGAGCACTGGACAGCTGTTTCGTCCTAGTTCGGGATTCTTTAGCAGTACTCACCCGCCATAAAGGGTCCGAACCCACCACCTTCTGGTTACAAGGCGAGCGATCTCGTAGACCATTAAGCCACTGGTACCTGATCCAATTGCCCACAAATTCTAACTTCTGCCAATTCACGATATAGCGCAAACCCAGCCAATGTCTTCGGCGAGTATTTGTCCTCACACCCGACCTGCTGCACCCTACTGGTCATGACTTCTCACTAGAACCCCAGGTAACTACCTACCTGAATAGGGCCAGTCGCTAGTAAGCATCTCATTGGTATTCAAATGTCGGTGGGTGTGTACTGATGAAGAGTCCCAAACTGCGACGAGACAGCTGTCCAGTACACCCAGGTTTACCAATGGTTCTCTAATTTGCCTACAGACAGGATAGGAGTACTTTAGACGCTACAGCCGTCTTATATAACAGTATCGTCTCATTATTAGATAAAGGTGCCAAATACGTCCGTTGCACGTTTCTCGACTTCACTTCAACTTTCGACTCTGTACCTAGATGTCTCTTGCTAAATGAGCTCTCCATGACACAAACTGAGTAGAACTTTATTTATTATTAATGTACCAACTGGATGCAATATTGTAGTAAAATGCTGAGAATTCCATTCTGTATCACAAGTACTGATTTGGAATAAAGCTTTTATTATCTTATCTTAACTAATGTCATCTCATTATGAAATCCTGTAACCAATCAAATCCCTACAAACCAACACTTGAATGGTAATAAGTACATTTAATATTAAAAGTTTATCCGTTATCACTAGGATAGAAAACTATCCTGAGTTGTAAGTGAAGGCAGTGGAAGGGTGTATGCGGCATCTTCTCCAGCTAGGCTTAGCAATCAAAAGCGTTTTATATAGAAATATAAAGGCTGAATTTTTATCAGTTTTATGATTTGTATCCAATAGGTATGCCATTATGGAAGTCTTGATTGATATTCTGGTTGCTTTTCTTAACTGTTCTGGTTTCAGCTGTCTGTGATTATTATTTTATTACGTAATTATAACATCGTATAAAAATATATGCATAAAGACGAAATGTCTTCCAGTAAATATTTTAGTCTAACTGTTTGATTTAATAGTTTATGTAGATTGCTTAACAGTTACAAACATGAACTCAGACTATTCAGGTTGTCTACGGTGATTATAACACAGTATTCTGTGCTTATTATTTTTTTTACCTTAAATGAACTCGAAAAGTTAGAAATCTATTAGTTAACAGCCACACAGTAGTCAGTGAAAAGCAGGTATCATTTATTATTATTATTATTTTGATTACAGCTTAATTCCACACAGTATTTTCGGTACAAGTATGGAATTTCCAGCATGTGATATCGTTAGCTCAAATTTCGCAGGCCGACCATAGATATCAAGTGTGCGTCGGCAAAGGATTGAACCTCGAACAATTTGCATGGTTGGTGAGAGTCCTAACCATTGTGCCACCAACGCACAACAACAGGCGTATTGCAAAATTGGAAACCAAATCAAAGGTGGAGGGATTAAAATTCTGAAGACAGGTTAATTGATCATTTTAACACTGACTGAAAGCTGGAATCGTCATGAATAATAAAGTCAAAATGGTAATACGTTTACACATATGTTAAAGAGGTGATTTTTACGAAAAGTAATTGAAACATTTTACTTTTTGAAATGATTGAAAATGGTTTAGTGAAATAATTAAGAATGTAAGTATCAAAGGTATACATATACATGTGTAGCTAAAAATTAGAGGGATATTACATCTACATATATATATATATATATCGGTGCTTCAGTGGTAGGATGCTCGCCGACCACACAGACAGTGTGGCTGCCATTCTCAGACAACGCAATTCCAAGCCCTCTAGTAGCTGGTAATAAGTTCGTTATAGAGTGTAGGTTAGACTTAAAGCGTAAGCAACCCTACCCTATTATACAAGCAACACCACTAATGAAAGTTCAAAGTTCAAGCTTAAATCCCTTATGTTCCAATCCTTCCTTATGAACCAATTTTCATTTTGGTTTACATAAATTATGGATGTATTTGGTTAATCTCTGTAAACCATTTACATGTGACGATGAATTATTTTCGAAGTGGTGAAAAATTAGTGCAAGTATGATTACAGAGTAACAAAATGTCAAAAGTACTACGTAAACCTAGAAAGTGGATACTAGTAATGATGTTAATGAGAAAAGTCAGAAAAGTGCAAACTTAAAAAGTAAAGTTTTATTAGTGAACATTAGAGAACAAACAGAAGAGAAAGAATGAAAGTGTAGGTAACATAGTAAAAACTTTCCCTGTTGGATATATGGAGAATCCTTTGAACCTCTCTTTGTGCAGGATGGTAAACAAACTGAGTGCATAATTTGTTTCTGAAGGCATAGATAACATCTAGTAGCATTCGTTTTCGTTGCTTCTGTCACCGATAGTGAACACAGACACGCTTTTTCAAACAAAGTAGCACTCACAAGATACACCACTGAAAGAATATGCTGTCACCTACTTTGATATCCACTGTTTATAAAATATAATAAAAGTGATGCATTTAAGTCGTTCTTTTTATTACCTTTCAAGAACATAACTGGTACGAAGTCTATGGGGTGTGCAATTTGAATTTAGCTTATTTATCCATTAGGTCTCATAAATTTTCTCATTTTCTTTCTTATGCAATATCTCAAGGATCATTACAAAAAGAGGTTTAGGGAATACCCCATGGGAAACTTCCTTTTATCAAGATTCTTTGCATACATCGAATATTTTCAAAAGTATCTGAGTATGTGCCATAAGCTGTCCATGGTCTCTTCAAACTTCGACTTCATACATCAAGATCCGCGTTACGGGAGTTTTAGCGGAGAAAATGCTATACTGATGAAGAATTTTTCGACAATACAGTCTGTCTCTTAGTATTATACTAGGATATAGGTAGGTATTCATTACAATTAGCTTCTTATCTTAGAATTTAATTACAAGTTTGATGCCGTTTAAAAAGATAATTGAATAGGAGTTTAATGTTGTTCTTAACTCTTTTGAAAAATTCACTCACCTTCCTCAACATTTAAAATTGTCATAACATTATGTTCACCCATACTTTTTGATTGAATAGCCGAGGATTCGTTCTCAGCCTTGATTCTTTGAAGAGCCTATAGTTAGAAAGAAAAAAATTAATAAAACAAACTACATGACGTTAATTCTGAATATTGTCAATATTAGGTGTCAGTGGCACAGCAGTAGAATGCTCACCAACCACGCAAGTGGGCCAGGGTTCGATCCCCGGACGACGCACTCCCTTACCTTGCTACGCCAGTAATAAGACTAGTAAAGAGGAAAGGTTGGACAAGAGGCTAGCTGCCCCATCCCGTAAAATCCCTAAAGCTTTATTTTGAAGCTCCGTGTTCCACTGAGAATGTAGAGAAGTGAAATAATAATAAAATATTATCAATATTCTTAGGAATATTTTTTAAACTGTCTTGCTGAAAAGTGTTTTTCTAGACAGTTCTTAATCACGTGAAAACAGCTGTAACTTAAAATTTACTGGTCAGTTAATTCTTCGTTTAAAATGTACGAAAATGTGTTACCATTATGTAATCAAACAGGTTCCATCGGCTGAGCGCATGAATTTTACCTGTCAGTGTTCCCAGTTTCCTCTTTAGAACACCACCATTCCTTGGAGTGCGGTAACACTAAAAAGGAAAGTCTGTGAATAAACTAAGACGGAAATGGTGTATTCTGCGTCTTGTGAAGATCAGAGTAGAAATCCACGTCAAGGAATACTGTATAATACTTAGATATTCCCTGTGATATTTACTAATGGATTACTTTTACCCTGCTGGAACTGTCGCAAGAGACATTTATGCTCAGCTGAAAATGGCTGACATCAGTTTTGTTTGTGAAAAATAACTTTAGAAAAACAAATGGGAAACGCTGGAAGAACAAATGTCTTCCAACAGTTAGGTCACTTCGATAAAATCCCTAAATTCTAATTGCAAGGATAAAGCTGTTATTAAGAAATAATCACCGATATTTCTGAACTGTATCTAAAATTTGGTTAATAATCCTAAAGACAGAATGCTAAAGGTCATTTGTTGGATAATCGTTGTTTGTTTTTAATGAAATAAAAGTCTACCTCTTTAATAATGTAGAGCCATTTGAATCCATCATCACGACATTTTACTAGCTTCAGGTAAAGTATCCACGATACGGACTTAATCTTACATCTTTCACTTGTGAATTAAAATTGGTGACCGATAAATTTCATCAGGCACATCAAAGGATATTTTCACTGACATTCAATCAGTACTTAATCTTGCCTATAAATTTGTAAATAGTGGACCAAATTTCTACACGAGAGATGTTCAGTTAACCGCAATAAGTGACGAGGTTTTGATTTCTTGAATAACAAATTTAGACAAGACAACAAGGAGACTTAATTTACCTAAATTGTGTGTAAGACATTTAGAACAACGTGATCACACACTTAATTGTCACTATAAATTATATGGTGGAACTGACGAGGATATCAAAGCAGCGAGGGTCGGAAAAGTGAGACAAGCTTTCATTACTCACGTCAAGTCTGTGTGAGGTTCAACAGCACTCAGCATCAAAATGAGAATAAGATCCGGATTTTCAACTACAATGTGAAGTCAGTCAGTCAGTGCTACTTACTATGTGGATCAGAGACTTGCACTGAGCGTCATAAAGACCATCTCAAACAAACTACAGACCTTCATCAATAGCTGTCTTCGCTCAATACTCAAGATCAGATGGCCAGCCAGAAAATATCAGCAACATGGATCTCTGTCAATGAGCGAATCAATCCAGCAGGAACCGATTGTGCAACAAATAGTCAGGAAGAAATGGAGTTAGGTGGATTGGCTGGCCATACTCTGAGGAAACCATCAAGTGAGCGACATCACTAGACAAGCCATTGCTCGAGCGGAACCAAGCCGAAGGGGAAGCGGGAGTTGGTGGTCATTGTGAGTGTGACATGGAGGAGGTTATGTGAAGAAGAAGAAATGAAGGCATGTGGGCAGACCTGGAGCCAGGTGTAAACTGCAGCAGAGAACCGAACACAATTGAGATTCGCGCCTGAAGCCCTATGTTCCTCTAGGAATTAAAGGAAATAATAATCAATAATTTATATGAAAAGCCTTTCAAGAGTTAATTTGGAGGGTTTGCTCTGTTTTAAGTTTGATCATGGATTAATATCAGTTTGGGAATCTTTTGGTTTGATAAATCCACTTAAGACGTTTTTAATTCAGTGATCTACACATTGACCTAATAGAAAGTAGAAGATGACTGGGTTAATGTGTGTTTTATGTCAACCACACATATATGAGGGTTTTCATTCTGATGGTGATAAAAAGTCGAATTTCCTTTCGCTTATTACATTTAGGCCAAGAATTTTCACTCAAACAGCCATCACTATGCCTTGTAATTACTGAATACATTCTGAACTTGTCTGATTTTGCTGTCATTATCAAGAACAGGTAATATTTTGAACTGCTAATCAATTGTTTGTCCCGTTTCACAATCGTTGTATTAGGATTTTCCCATAATTCTTTCGTGGTTTTAAAATGTCAGAAGGTTAAAATGCTTTTTTCCGGATGGTCTTAAGAGAACTGGTTGGCTGTATCCACCGGCTTAGCTCTAAATCAACCTTGCTCTTCATCTGATGATGGAACGAAAGATTTAAGTCGGTTTTATGCATTTTCAAATTTGAAATGGATAACTAAATCTTAAAATGCATACAAGAAACATAAAAGTTCTTCTCAAAGTATAGAACTTCTTTCTGACGAGTAGATTATTTTTATCAGAAAAATTCGTACCATAGTTATCTAGATTAACGGTGGACACCTAAAGGTTGTTTAATATCTTCAGTTGAATTTTCCAGGTTCTTTTGTATATTTGATTTTGTCTTATACAGTAATATATCTCAAACCTCAGTCCTGAAAAAGCGAATCTCCGAGTCCGCTCTCCCTGAATAAATGAATAAAAACGTCTAAATATGCTACATTTAAACTTCTAGATTAGCTTAAGAAAAAGTTTTTATCATTGTCTACCTTTATATTTGTGTAAAATATGGGTCCTGCATTGAAATATAATTTCACATTAGTTCTTATAATTAGATAAATCACACAATAATGTTCTAGCATTTCTTATACCCAATAAAGGGACTTTTGTACAATAATATCTTGGCTGCCTTAGATATAAATTTTGAATTTCCTATTTTTCTATAGTTGCTTTGTAAGGATCGGTTTTTTTTACGAGTTGGTTACAGATTAATATAAGGCGTGATCAGTGAGGTCATGAGGATGGATGTCCCACCGATGACATTGGTTAATGGTCGCGCCAAATCACGAATTAGAAGTGGAAGTTAGATGGCCATTGAATTGGGTCCCAGTGGCTGAATGATATAGGAGCTTGACTTGCAACCGGAAAGTCCTGGTGTCAAACCCTGGCAGTTGGTGTGTACTTCCAATGATTCCCAAACTAGGTTGAAACACCTATCCAGTACTTCAGTGCTGGTTTTCCAATGGTTCTCTAACTGATATCAATCCGTGATCAACTCTTAAAACTTCCTATTTTTTATTTCCTATAAAATAACTATCGATCGTCCTATAATGATAAATCACTTTTCTATTCACGCTGGATATGCGTTTCCATCAATTCTCAGATATCTACTAAATTGTGACTCTAGGCATGACTTTGATAAGCTAAAAAGGATACCCAATGTGGGTAATTGTGCACATTTCCTGATGCCTCGTAGATCAGGCAACATTATCACAGTCTGACAGAATCATAAGTAAAACAAGCATATGTATGAATTTGATACTGAGTGTCATTCAGACCTACTCTTTTTGGGGTTCTGTTTATCCACCATACCGTATTTATCATGATATAATGTGAATATCATTATATTTTAGACCATTAAATTAATTAACAGTAGTTAGTAAAAACAAATAACATCACATACCAATTTAATTTGTGTTGACCAGTTCAAATTGAAACAAATAACGCATAATGTGGATACTTGAATTGTAGCCGCGCATATAAGACCAATCCAAATTCCTAATAGAACAATACAAGTAATGGGTAAAAATATTTATCTTTTTTTGACGAGTTTGACCGAGGAGTGATATCAACTAGAGAACCATTGAAAACTAGCTGGAAGTACTGGATAGCTGTTTCATCCTATTCTGGGAATCCTCGGAAGTATGCACCCACCGACGGGGTTTGAACCCAGGCAAGCTCGTATACCATTCAGCCACTGGAACCCGATTCAATGGCCTTTCAATAGTTCTCTAACTGATATCAATCCGTGGTCAAACTCGTAGAAACAAATCTAATCCTAACAAACCAACTCTTTAAAAGTATTTATCTCACCATGTAAAATAGAAAGTGAATTGTTATTTAAACATTGCATAATTCAAAATGTAGGGAATTTTTTCCTTCAGGCTTTAAGAATACCATCTTAAGTACACTTATCAGCATTGTTAGGTAGCAAAGCGTGCGTTTAGTTTAAATATGAAAGTAAAAAAATGATTTTTCAAAGACTTGCTTGAAATAATTGGCAGATTCATTGTTAAAATGGCATAGAATGCTTATCATGATAGTTCATCTCGAATCGACGAACTTATTTTCAAATTCCCATTAAATCCATTGAAGTTTTTTACAGATCGATCGCATTACAGGCATGACTCACTGTCATGTATTTTGGCCTTAGAGTGACTTGAGTTCACTTTTTGACCATCATTAAAAGATAGGAATCTCGAAATTATCCCCTCAACATTAACATTAGAATTTTTTGTAACATTTCACGAGTGTTTTGACTTAAGGCATAGTGAGATACTAAAACCAATCAATCCCTTTTATAAAATTGGATAGTGTTATTAGAAGATGGAGACTATCTAAAAAATGTGATGCGTTTGTACTATACATTTCGAATAATCTGATCACACATTTACTTGTAAAGTCGATATATATGAAAACAATTAAGGGCAATTAAATAAAACAAAGTGACGAAAAAGATTTAGGAATAATTAACTCAACGTTTGGTAATCCAATCAAATAAGGATATCAATCCATAGTCAAACTCGTAAAAACAAATTTAATCCTTACAAACCAACTCTTGAAAATAAGGATTACCAAGGGAGGGAGGTTAAGAGTAATAATAAACTGTTTTTGAATACATAGGGGTGGGGAATTAAGTATGTGAATAGCTATAGCCCCAGAGTATTTCAATAAGCACCCTTGAACATTTAACAGATGACCTTAAAGGCTGTGTTAACATCAATCTTATGGTTCATCTTGATTAGATGTTTAGCTGTAGACGAAGTTGGTAGTCTGACACCTACGTCTATTGGTTTTCCGCACTTCATTTGTTCTTCTTACCATGTCGAGATATGCTCTTCCACCCTCATATGCCAAGCACGATTATTTCTCCATATTTATGTGTGTACACACACAGGAGAGTCGGTAAATATTGTGGAATGTGACATAAACACTTGTGCACTTTTGAGGTCTCCAGGGGGCATACTTTTGGATTTTTGATAATTACAAGCTGGGCTGCATAACAGTTCCTACGGATGACCAAAATCTCAAAATCCTACTGTTTATTTCCCCGTTATAGGGTAATTTGATGAAAACATTTTTCTCAGGGGTGGTATAGATTGTAGGTATAAAGACTAACTGACTTGTACACCTGTTTAAAAATTTTAAAGGATATCCGTTTTCAACAAGAGTATCCATCAATATTTCATTTTCTTTCTTTATAACTTCACTCCTGCAAATACGTTGAATCCTCTTAAATAAGCATTTCACCAAGCCTCTCTTATACTGTAATGGATTGATATCCTTATTTGATTGGATTACCAAACGTTGTGTTTATTATTCCTAAATCTTTTTCGTCACTTTGTTTTATTTAATTGCCCTTAATTGTTTTCATATATATCGACTTTACAAGTAAATGTGTGATCAGATTGTTCACAATGTATATTGCAAAGGCCCCACATTTTTCAGATAATGTCCATCTTCTAACAACATCCTAATGATGAGATATTCAGTTCATTTTCCGAGGTTGTTTGTGATTGGTGACACAAAACTCAGTGAAAGTAATGATTATTATTATTGTTATTACTTTAGTATAATACTTCCCAGTGTGTTTCGTAAGATGTGATATTTTAATTACAGACTTCAAGTGTTTTCACAGTTATTCATTCCAAATTACTACAGTTAGTATTTCAGTAAATTTTCTATACTTCTCGAAAGGTTAACTTATACTTTCGTTGATAATATCAAAAGTCAAAACTCTTGACAGAGCATTTAGCGAGCTTAATTCTCTATTAATTTGTTTACTGAATATATCACACAGTGAAATAGTATTATTTGGTGGATAACATTTAGAACAAAAAATTATTATTCCTAGTCATACCACTTGTGATATGACCACACAGTAACTTATACTTTTTCATTGTGAGATATTTTAAATAAATAAATTAGTATAGAACTGAATGATACCACAGTGTTACGACCGAAACCAATTTATTATGGTTTGACCTCAGAAAATTGATCTCTACGTCTCACTGTGTACCTGTCTAAAAGGTCCTTCAGAGACACACAGTCCCAAAACTATCTCAAGACAACGAAGATACTTTTGGTCTACGAGCTCGCGTTGTAACTAGAAGGTCCTGGTTTCGAAACCCAGTAGGTGGGTACTACAAAGAATCACGGATAAGTGGAACGAAACAGCTGTCCAGTACTCCAGTGGTGGTTTTTCAATGGTTCTCTAACTGGTGTCAGCTCATGATGAAATCCTCCGACCAATCAATACTTGAAAATACTTTTATTAACCGATCAATCTGTGTGATTTTCAACGGCTCAGATAAAAACACTTAAGGCTATTTTACAAGAGGCAAACAAGTACTTAAAATCAATCACAATATTCCCAACAATGTGGGATCAAAATTCTATCAACAGATATCACAAACCAACACCTTCTGAAGACGGTTCAAGGTCAAGATCACCTTCAATCACTCCAACAAAATCATATCGTCAAACAAACACATTATTAATATACACAAAACCGTAGAGGTGCATTGTAATTAGAGATTAAACAGGTAGGGACAAGGACAAATATTAAGGATCAAGTCACCAAATGATATGCAAATGTCAGAACGATGATATACAGTCTAGAAGAAAGGTGGACAATAATTACAGAGTTGGTTAAAACACCCAAATAAGTATAAATATCGTGGTTAGATCGTTCAGGAGTTTTCCAAACAATTATTCCCATCGCAATTAATATTCCTAAAAATTGGTTTCTTGTTAGCTTTCACTAAGAAATACATGTAACCTATGGAAGCTATGAACAATGCCATTACTACTTTTTGGAAGACACTATTCTGTACATTTTAATTCAAAAGGGAAATTCATTAGTGATACTTTTGAATGTTTACCGGAAAGGCCGACTGACTACAATTTCATGTGGCAAAACTTTAAATGACATATTTGAGTTATCTTTTGTTATGCTGCGGTGTCAAGGATAACATGTAAAATATAATGAATCCAGAGTGAGTTCATCATTGTTGTGTTAACCTTTGATGTATTGATGTTTCACCAAGGTTTACCATTTATACTACTCCAAATCAAATTAACCACAATAATGATGTCTCTGCCTAATTTCAAACCATCAGTCTATTCTGAATTACAAAATATTTAATTTATTACAATGACAGACCTACTGTGTTAACAGCACTTACAAATATAACAATAATAACCGCTGTGATGTTGCGTGACTGATTGCATACTGAGGAAAACTTCTCGCCTCTGTGCAATTTCTCAACATGATCCTCCTAAGCTACTTCAATGAGACTTAAGTGAGTTTCTCTACTGAGTCTTAGGTACACTGTAACTAACTAAGGCCCAAAGGTGCCAAATATGTTCGTGATGCTTTCCTAGACTGTACATCTTCTTTTCACTCTGTACCTAGTGGACCTTTTATTAAATAAGCTTTCGTTGACGCAAACAGGATCCTGGGCTAAGAGTCGGTTGCACTGTTATTTTTCTGATAGAATAGAGTATACTGTATATAATGACAAATCTTCTTCTGCCTAGCTTACAAGAGCCGGTGTTCCTCAAAGTGCCGTCCTTTCTCTCGTTTTCTTTATTCTTTCTTCCTACACGACCTGCCTCATCTAAACGAAACTAACTTTGTCAAATATGCGGATGATTTAACTGTATCACTGCCTATCACTTCCGTGTCTGACTGCTCCAAACTTAATAGCTTTCAAACAGTTAACTTTACTTTCGGGCATCGACATGACATACATGAACTAGTTAGTTCCCATGATGCCTGTAGCATTGGTGGCACTGAAACTGAAACCAAGTCAAACATTAAATGCCTTGGATTGGTTCTTTCTTCTGACCTTTCATGGTCATCCTACATTTTATCAATGTTTCGTCTTACCTTCTACATTAAAAAGTTAAGAAAATCAGGTATCAACCAACCTTTACTTCCGCAATTTTTAAACTTTTGTATTTTACCTATTGTACTCTATTGCCCTCCATTAATTTTTTTTGAGCTTCTGAAAAAAGACTGTATCATATTACGAAGGGTATTAAATGCTAAGAGTAGGGCCTGTGGCATGTCACTGAGGGAGCTCGCAATTATTATAGTCAAGGGACATATAAAATCCTGTACAAAATGGCAAAGGCCGTACTGTTAGACCCTTCGCACCCCCTTTATTCAAAACTATCCCCTTGCATCTCATCAGGTGGGACGAGAAGTCAATATAAGAAGCTATATGCTCGAACCACTAAGTACAGAAATTCTACAATACCCTATTTAGCCCGTATTTTATGTGATGGAGACACTGTTAGACGTAAAACATATAAGTTACTTTGTAATTAGCAAAGTGAATCGACCCTTTCATCGTTCATCTTTCTGTAATCTTATAGTGTCACCCTTTCTATCGTTTAATTATAACTTAGCTATTTTAATTTAATTGTTATTACTATTATTACTACAATTTTATACTTTGTGCATATTTTTCCCCTATTCCATACTGCACTTGCTACATAGCTGCTATAACAACGTTTTGTTATTAATGTTATGTAATGTTTACTTTTTGTCGTTTTGAGTAAATTAGGTGCAATATTGTACTGAATGCTGAAAATTCCTTGCTGTATCATTAGTATTGTTTTTGGAACAAAGTAAAAATTATTATTATTAACTAGATCATCTGTACGAGTTAATTAACTTCGAATAATTCATGTGATATAATGTATAAAACAAAATAAAAAATTGTCAATGATTTATTTCTCTGTTTATAATGAATTACGAAAATTTCGGTATTTCATAACTTGAATTCACAGTAGTGCACTCAAAATCGACTTGTGAAATTCAATTTATCACTAGGATTTCATCGCATTTGAAATCAGAAAATTTTGAATAATCTTCAATCTCAGGCGAAACTTACTTAGACCTTTCTTACTTTATTTCAATTTGTTTTACCTACTAATGTTTACGTTCCATTTATATTTTTCCAGTAAAACTCATATCATAAGAATCTTTTGATAGTAACCAGCAGTAGGAAGAGGGATGCTCAATTTGCCTAGCTTAGGGCTCACTACCTAAACGTAACTGCATTCCGTTGATTTGATGATATTAGATGGTTGAAGAAAATCGACAGGAAGACTTGCACCTAGTTTTCGTGCTAGTTGGCACTCGTCAGCAAGGCGTATCTGCCAACTTGCACGAAACCTAGGTCCAAGTCTTCCTGTCGATTGTCTCCAACCATCTAATATCATCAAATCAACGTGCACCGTGATGACGAGCTACCTAGAATGGTGGCTACATTACAACCTGACTGATAGAATTCAGTCTACACCGATGAGAGGACAAGACACATCACACTAGTTACTAGTATCAAATCAAAAAAGGAACTGCATTCCCCTGTGATGATGATGATGATGATTTCAGGAACTGGAGCAAACACCAGTCGTCTCAGATAGCGAAGTATTACTTAGTACTCTGGTAAACCACGTAAGTCAACTGTTGTGCAACTGATATTATTATCTGATATTCTTTGTTTATGTTTGAACGTTTCTGTTTGCTTTCAGACTAGATGGAAAGTGCCTCATATGGATACCACTGCAAGCCAATAAGTAGAAAATTACTACAAACTAGAAATTAGGGCAACAATGATGCACTCATTCAACTAGCCTATATGCTGACATAAAAAGAGATGAATTTAATATTATAATCTATGAACTGTTACTGGAAATAAAACTATAAGCTAAAAATAGTTTGATTTAGTTTATTGAAGCATAGATAGGAAAATTTTAATTTGTATAGGCACGACTGTCTGATTATTTTATCACGATAAATCTGATTTTTAAGCCTAGAGATTATATTCCATATGCTGCAGAGTTAAAATACTGATGTGAGAATAGCTGGATAGATAGACAGATAGTTAGCTAAATGTCACAAGTTTCCCAGCCTTCGAAGATTAAATCATCCTTTCATTTTGTATGAATTTTTAAAATGTATTTAACTAGTTAACGCTCAGAAAATATTTTAGGTGTTTGTACTCATGAGTTATATTTTACAGTATTCACAGGAGTTTCAGATAGATGACGGGAAAATATTTAAAAATAGTACTAGATGGCTCTTGCTGGCCTAAACTGTGGGATGATAAGAAAGCAACTAGTCTCTTTTAAGTTTAAATTTTGTCATAAACCAGCATTCGGTAAAGAATCCGTGAGAAGTAATAAACACCTGACAACTCTGTTGAATTGGAATTTGGGTCTCTCTAATAATGCATACGTGAACACCAATCAAACCCAGAACCATCAGATTATGAGTCAGGTATGTTTACTAAACAACCACTAAATTAAACTTTGATGACCGGTGGATTACACTTCGAGTCTATCCGTGATCCATCGACGTCACAGACCAGTGTAGTAATCGAGCATTCATCTTCACAAGAGATCACTGCTGAGTAGTCCAAAAGTAAAGTGTAAAAACCGTCCAACGCTTCCTGATTTTCAATCAATCGCAAACTGATAATGATTGAGAAATAAGTGTCCACAGGAATTAACCGAATGCCTACTAATCCGGTGAATTGAGCAGAAAAGATCGGAGGGGTTAACAAAATTCTTGGGATTTGCTGGAAATAGAGATATTGGTAGTTCCATTGCTGTCGCTTTCATTGAGAGAATATTCTCTCTTTTGCCCTTACCTACTGGTGGTTTCTTCACATAAAATACAAGAATAGGATCTAAATCCTCTAGCAGACAAATGAAAGCGTTTTAAAATAAAATCCTATTATTCAGGATAAAAATTCTCGACTCGCTCGTAAAAATCTAGGCAATAGACTTAAACAAATTAACACAACCTCGAAATCCCATACCAATAATGTCATTAAGTTGAAGACGGGTTTACTTTTTGTCAGATTCATAGTATTTAGATAGGTATACATTCACTAACATGGGCTTTGATTTGGTTCATAGAATTGTCTGTCAATATATACCATTATATCAGCTATAAGCTTTACTGATCACTGGTTGTCACATGCATGCACGTGCACGCCGTAAAATACGAAAACCAGACGAGAAAAAAAATGTGATATCTTGTAAACATGGTGTTGAATGGATTTTACTAGTTTTAAGTATCTGTTTGCCTACGTCAAAATTAGTTGACCGGTTTTATTTTTCAGACTTGTTGTTATTTTCAAAAATAAATGTTAGTGTTTGACTAATAGAATATATATGTAATCATTTAAACTGGGGAAATTATGTCTTAAAAGTACTGAAGTAGGTAAGTAAATAGGCCTTTGACACAGCAAAAAAAAATTTGCTTTATAAGAAAATATAATATCGAAATGATTTCGTTTTATAAGTAGTTAATTGGTGGATGGTGACTAGCAGTGGAATGCAGGATAACGCCCATTTCGTCCAATTTGGGACTCTTCCGCCAGCTGGATGTACCTGCATTCCCCAATGGGTCAGTAATGATGTTCCCACTGAGGCTCGAACCCAGTGGCCATAGTTTCAAATGCCAAAGCATTATCCACTAAACCACTTGGGCCATGAGAGCCACCTCTTGTGCAACGGGTCATATTAATTTAATTGAATTTTTGGTTTTATACTATTTTTGAAAACATTTATTTCCCGATACGAATTTAAAACAAGCAATAAAGGTTAATAAAGCCACTATTTTAAATATAAAAACAAACTTTACTCACCTTTCAGTCTAAGATTAGCTAAGTATACTAAGCAAACTCCGAGCGGCGCTGCTATCATGTAGAGAAAGACTATATTTACAATGGCACCAACTGTTTGCAAGCCAGATCCTTTGAGAACACCACTACAGACGCCCTAAAATAAATAATGAGCATAGTAACTATTTAGTTATATTGAAGCGATAACAAAATCCTACATTGACATTTCGTTTTACCAACTTTGTAGTTAGATATCAGACACTTGGATTCTTATAGTAATGCGTCTTTAGTTCCCATTTTGAGAATGTTTCAATTAAGAATAGTGGTATTTCACAATGGCATTAAAATTGTACGAAAAAGGGTGAATATTGTGTTGAATGAAACAAGAAAATACGCGTGAATATCATTTAAAATTGAATGGAGTTCAAGACACCTGAGCACCATAAAGATCTTCCTTTCTCTTTAAAATGTTCAGTTTTGGTGATGGATAAGAACTGATGACTGTGATCCACAGAGATTTAACATGCAAAATATCAATAACAAACCGCTCTAAATAAAAATGAGAGGTCATTTCCTACATCTTAAGTACGGCTGAAAAATGAGATGCCCAATTTATGAAATCCCACCATGATGACAACGTCGTGAAGTTGCTAAAAATATGAATAAAAATCATCTTTAAATTTAAGTGGTGCGTCGGTGGCACAGCGGTAAGGACGCTCACCGACCATGCACATGGTCCGGGGTTCGATCCCCGACCGAAGAACTCCTTTACCTCTCTAAGCCAGAAATAATGCTAATAAAGAGGAAAGGTTGGGCATGAGGCTAGTAACCCGATCCTGTAAAATAAACACTGCTCCAGAAACTTCAAGCCACTAGGTTGGGTTCCTATATTCCACTGGGAACGTGAAGGAAAAATAATTAAATTTAAGTAACACGGCAAGATCACTGGAAGCGTAATTTGTAATTTTCCCTGGGGGTTTGTCTCACACTCTTAGGGACGTTTATTGATTATTTAACCGACTTCAGCTTATCCTTGGTATTCTCCGTAAACGATGGAAAACACCTGTTTTCTTTGCAGTCTAAACAGTCAGCATACATATGAACAAGTCATTTGTTTTTGTCAGTAGTAAATTTACTTAAGGATTTGACAACTTGTATTAGTTGTGTTCAATATAGTAGGGTGTGATTTAAGTAACAGCCCATTCGTTTCGCTGTTGTGACCACCAGAGTGCCACAGGTCGGATGTGAGGACAAAATCCTTCACGAAGACGTTGGCTAGAGGTCACGCTGTTTCGTGAACTGGCAGTAGTTGCGATTCATGTACTGGTCATTGAACTGGATCCCAGTGACTTAATACTTCACGAGCTAACTCGCCTTGTAACCGGAATGTCCTGATTTTGAACCCTGGTGGTTGGTGCGTACTGGTGAGGAGTCATAAACAAGTAGAACGAAATAGCTATCTGGCAGTACTCCCAGCTGGTTTTCTAATGGTAGTTCTCTAACTAACGTCAGCTCATGATGAAATCCTGTAACCAGTCAATCAAATCCCTACAAACCAATGCTGGAATATTTACTTACTTGTCATAGCAATGGAAAAATGTGCACCATATCAGATTATGTATATCATAACTTGAATAAAATACGTTTAAAATTGACAAGGACTTGTTTGTAATAGCTTGGACAACTGCTGGTATCTAAAACTAACCTACGTGGATGATTAAATCTCCACCTTATAAAACATACTGAACTAATTTCATCTCTCTCTATTTAATAATTTGCTGCTCATCTACAATTCTCTGGGGATTAGATGTTTAGACCACTGAGTTTCTATGCGAGTAAGTTATCCAACAACCTCTGCATGTCTATCATTCGATGGCAAAGGTTAGTGACTGTCCTCCCATTCTTTTCAGGCTGACTCCAGAATTTCATTTTAAACAGACTGAAATAATTTCGATAATTTATTCTCATGGAAGATAGTTTGTGCATGAATGGTGATTAGTAGCTCTATTGGGTGTGGTTTCCTCATATTTATAAGTAAACAGAGCAAGACACATTATATGTTTTTAATTCAGTTCCCATTTTATCATTGATATTTTTTATTCCCTTGGAGTTTCTGTAGCAGTGGTGTTTGTTTTTACGAGATAGGGTTGCTGGCCTCATGCTCAGCCTTCCCGCTTTACCAGTCTCACTACTGGCTTAGCGAATTCAAAGAGTGCATCGGCTGGTGATCGAATCCCGGACCATGTGCATGGTCGGCGAGCGTCCAAACCGCTGTACCACTGACGCACTTCCCGTTGATTGATTGTACCGAAATGTCCCAGCTTTGCTGACATATCGGCTCCTAGCGAGAATGCTTCGACAACATCTGACAGTTAGCTTCAAGCAATTTGGTGGATGGTGACTAGCAGTAGAATCCATTACGGGCATTCTGCCCCCGATTGGAACTCGTCATCTGCATGTACCTGCATTCTCTGATTGAGTGATGGTGTTCTCAATGAGGCTCAAACACAGTACTTGCGGTTCTTAACGCCAAAGCGTTGTCCACTAGATAGTTTGGGCCACGAGAGCCATATCTTGTGCAGCGGGCATCAGTTATTAATTGTATAAGTTACACTTCTGATTTTCCCATTGATCATGGCCCAAGTGGTCTATTAGATCGAGACACAGTTGATAATTATTTATGACTAAAAATATATTAAAAAGTATATTCCAGTGTACCGTAAAAACCTACATTTACTCCATCGACTATTTGGAATACTGAAATGATTGGCATCAATTCAGCAACAAGTTCAATAACACCACTGAAAATTAAATCAAAAGTAAATAAAACAGAGTCATTAAAAGACGGAAGAATTATCTTTAAATTTACATGAATCTAAAACATTTAAAGCAGTACATGCATTCATAATGACGTGAAAGTGACGAAGTTTTTAAGTAGCAAGTTATCCTAATAATTACAAGCTGTAATACATCTTTATTACTTTGACTTGCTAAGGTATGCCTAATTTTCTTTGTTTATGTAAGCTAAATTTTACAGTCTGAACTCTAATGATATTTTGGCTGAGAACATTTTGAGTTAACTGACAGATTTATTTGTCACCAAGTCATAGGTAATCCGTCTTTTTGTTAAACTCTCTCATTGTATGGATGTAAAACTATTACTTTGTAAAACGTTTATGAGTATTTTACGTATAGTGCAAAAACTTAACAAGAGATATGTGTTTCGCTTCATCTCTCCATGAATATACTCTATTCTTAAATCGCCTTAATGCATTCACTGATGAACATCTCCGCATCCTAAGACCAAATGGAGTTTATCAAGACAGCACTACATCACAACTTATTGTCTAAAATAGTAGATATTGTTTCGAGGAAAATACAAACCACAAGATGATATAGATGATGAAACTTATATACTAGATTACACTTTAAAGACAATTAGATTAAAATCTTGTTCATCATATAACTTATAACACATTATTTGATGTTTGCTCTAAATGACTTCATAACTCATGCAGATTCAATAAATCGTCATAATAAAAATTCAAAGTCACCAGTTTTACTATGCGTACGAAAAAAGAATTCGTTACTTAAACCCTGATTATTCTATGAGAATTATTTTTACTAATATAATCATAAGATTATAAATACCAGTAAATGTAAAATAATATACCTGATGCTCTATACTAAAACTTGATCAGCGGATTAAACTCTGCTTAATTAACGATTGTTTTGTGCTTTTTATGCCATTAGTCAGTTAATTATGGTACTGGGAAAGTAAATACAGACTGTCGTACTGAACTGTCAAACGTCTGATGATGTAATTCATGATGACTGAATGTGAGATACAAAATATGGGTCATATGAAGGTTGGAATCATCAGGCTTTGGACTACTAGTCCTTCCTGTTTCTGTGGAAATTAATTCTCTGGAAATGTGTTCTCATTTCTGTCAGTAATACCCAACACATAGGACATTTTGAATCTCTGAAAAGTGATTTTAACATTCTCTCAATTATCTTTATGTTTAAAGGTGAGCTGAAGGTAATCACGGTAAGTATATATATAACTACAATGATTGAAGAAACCTCACTTTCTGCAGACCTGATGGTGCTTTAAACACTTTAATTACAGTGTGCTTTGTTAAAGACGAATTTAACACTGAAATGAATTTATTCTACATTAACATGGGCCATGGAATTGGGTCACAGTGGCTGAATTGTATGCGAAATTGCATTATAACCGGAAGGTCCCGGCTTCGAACCTCCTGTGGTGGGTGCGTACTTCCGATGATTCTCAAACTAGGATAAAACAGCTGTCCAGTACTCCCAGCTGGTTCTCAATGGTTCCCTAACTGATATCAATCTGTGATCAACTCGTAAAAGCAAAACCAATCCTTACGAAACCAACTACAGAAAATCAAATAAACGGATTTATTTTAAGTAAAACTAACCTATCAAGTGTAAATATCTTTGGTAGGTGCCATCTTATCGCAATCAGTATTCCTAAATATGGTAAAGAGCATAAACCTGTAATTAAAAAAAATAACAAAAACAAGATAACTATATACTATCTTTTAAACATTGAAAATTATAATCCAGATATTTCATACTACTTATTTTAAAAAAACTTACCAACTAATGTCAGAGCCACACTGAACACACAGTGAGGACCTCTAACGGATTGTGCACCGAGATATTGTCCTACGCGTATACCTGTTGCACTCCCAACACCAATTGGAACCTAGCAAAACAAATGAAATGATTGGGTGAATTATGACATAAAATTGTTTTACTTTGTTAGTGTCAAATAAGCTTCATCGAGCAGCTGTAATGCATCTTTAACACCTACATGTATATCCTTATTCAGATTGAATTTATTGTGTATGGCAATGTCGGTTAAAATTTAGGGATCTCAATAAACGATAGATATTTCAAAACCTATAATGCCTAATTTTTTTGATTTAGTTGTGTTCTTTGGGATGGATGATAAGGTTACGAAGCCTTCATTGTATTTTTAGAGATCTCATCTTCAGTGCTTATTTCAGTGTGAATTGAGATTTTTTGAATTCCGTATGGATGATATAACTGTTCCTCCTGATAACCGTAGCTTAGATTGGTCGTCTGCAAGAGGTTTCTTTTATCCTTATATTAATTTGTATTGGCATCTATCGTTTCTTCGATCTGAATTTCAGCTATTTTGTAACTACTTCTATGTGATCTATTATTTATTGACTGATTCATACGTCTGTTGAATGAACATTGATCTGAGTATTAGGCTCCAAGGCATACGAGGAATTTAAGCTATCTTAAATCCCCGAATTTCCTATATCAACTCGGTGTCTGTTGTTGTCTACATACATCGATATATATATATACCATGTCTTTTGATTAATATTTAATGACCCTAGGTCCGAAGTCAATTAGTATGTCTAATCTGACCAGTACAGTGTTTTTCAGAATTGTTAGAGTTCATTTTGTCTGTAGTGTTGAACTTGTGTTCCTTTGCTTCTGACTTTTTCGGGTAAAGTGTTGTTCAGAAGCATAATGGGATCTTCGCAACCAAATCACATAGCTCAATGAACACTCTCACATTGAAAATACCCACCTAAGCTACAAATCGTCATTATTTAAAAAAAATAGTGCCTAGTTTTACAAATATTTATAGCCTAGAAACTGTCATATTTAGCGGAATACAGCACTAACCTACCAAGTATACTTTAACGTATATTAGGAATTTAGGCAGAATAGTGTTTACAGATAGAGATCTTTTATACAATATGCCTAAATCTGTCAAAAATCCAGGTAATAGGTAGAAATAAACTCAAGCATACTTAATTAAAATGTGCATTATACTCTGAATAACTTGATTTCTCTTAATTTACAAACATCTTTACCCAAAAATAGTATTATATCTATCAAATAAATCATATAAGCACTAAAGCTTTAATTCACAACCACGGTCATTCAGTGAATCGAAATCTAGTCAACACTTATTTCCGTCTCAGAAACACGATTCACTTATCATTCATTTTTAACTCAGTTTTGATTTTCCCGTTGGCTGATTGGACCTAAATGCTTGGCCTCTTTGAATTAAAAATAAATAAATAATGACACCTGTTGCTCAAGAGGAGAGTCTCATGGCCCTAGTCGTCTTGCAGATAACTTTTTAGCGTTTAAAACAGCGCGTACTGGGTTCGATTCCCAGTGGGAACATCATTGCTCATTTGAGAATGCAGTTACACCCAGAAGCTGGCCAGTCCCGAATAGGTTTGGATATGCACTGATAGTCACCGTCCACCAAATCACTATGACTTACTTATGTCTACTAAGTGTTAGTTGTTTCGACATACATTGACTTTAACCCTTCTTTTATAAAGAGAAAGATATAAATAAACCCTTTTGTTGACTATATTTTTTGACTGGCATTTAGGATGTAAAACTGTATAATTTTCTTACTATTAACCAACACTTAACAGATTGGTTATTGGATTTCATCATGAGCTGATATTGGTTAAAGAACCATTGGAAAACCATCTGGGAGTACTGGACAGCTGTTTTGACAGCCTAGTTTGGGACTCTTCATCAGTATGCACCAACCACAGGGGTTCGAACTCAGGACCTTTTCTGGTTGCAAGGTGAGATCGCAGACCATTAGGCCACTGGGACTCGATCCAATGGCCCATGAATTCTAACTTTCACCTATTCACGATATAGCGCAACCGCTAGCCAAATAGAGGTTAGATTTGTCGATGAAAACAAGCGTATCAAGCCGATCATTAGTGGTTTTGAATATTACAAAAAGCCGTTGATTTTTTGTCAGCAAATGTATTATAGTTCTATTAAAACTTCTGTTTAATATCTTTGTAAGTAGAGCAAAGCTGGAACTGAAGAAATATATAAACTTCCATTTTTTTAGTTGAATAATCTGTTGTAAACCTCACAATAAAAAAATGTGATTCTGTACAGTTTACATTTTATTTCCTTTCATGTGACAAGTTACAGATGGTCCAGATTGGTCCAGATGGTGTACCAAGCATTCTTCTTCAAAAGTGTGCAGACATCTTGTGTCATCCTCTTACTCAAATCTTTAACGCATCATTTAACAGGGAAACGGTACCTGCTGACTGGAAAGAAATCAAGGTTGTACCTGTACAGAAATCATCTTCTGGAGCAGGTATAAAGTTTAGACCGGTCGCTATAACATCTCCTTTTTTGAAAACTATGGAGAAACTTCTTTTGAATATTCTTAAACCTTCTTTAAAAGCTTTTAGTGACCCTAAGCAGTTTGCTTATAAGTGTGGAAGAAGTACATTAGATGCAGCCATTGTACTACACCACAATATTGTTTCCTGCCTTGATAAGGGTGCTAAGTTCGTTCGAACAGCTTTTTTAGACTATACTGCAGCTTTCGACTCTGTTCCTAGGACACTTTTATTAGGAAAGATGATTTCAGCTCAAACAGAGTCCTGGGCAACTAGATGGCTGTCTTCTTATTTTAAGGATAGGAAACAGCATACTGTTTTGGCTGGAAAGCGCTCCACTTCTCAGCTAACTGAAAGTGGTGTGCCTCAAGGTGCAGTACTTTCTCCATTTCTTTTCTCTTTCTTTTTGCATGACCTTCCGAACTCACCCAAAGTTAACTTCATTAAGTATGCTGATGATCTGACCGTTTCTGTCCCTGTAGTTTCCACATCGGATTGTTCCCATATGAATGGCTTCTTAGCTGAAGTTAAGGATTGGTCTGGCTCAAATGGTCTTAAACTAAATCCAACTAAATGTAACACTGTTGATTTCAGCTTGAGAAGTGAAAAAGACATGCATGGATTGATTCAATCTCATGATTGTTGTAATATTGATGGTACCATGATTGAGAGTAAGTCAAGTGTTTCTTATCTTGGCATTAGTTTCTCGTCAAACCTTTGCTGGTCGTCTCATATTCTTATAGTTTCTAAGAAAGTTTTCCGTCTGACTTATTACATAAAGAAGTTGAGACACTCAGGTATAACCCAATCTCTTATCATACAATTTATTAATTCATGTGTTTTGCCCATCATTCTTTATTGTTCTCCATTATTCTTCCCTGGGCTACTCAAGAAAGACCATATAATACTACGAAGAACATTGAGGGCTGTAAGTAGGGTCAGTGCTATCCCTTTGACTCAACTAAATGACACTGTTGTCAATAGGCATATGAATTCTTGTAAACACTTAGCTAAAGTTATCTTATCTGATAGTGAACATCCTCTTTATTCACAATTGTTTCCTTGTATCTCTTCGGGTAAGACCAGAAGAAATTTTATAAACATTTATGCTCGTACTACAAAATATAAAAATTCGACCGTTCCATATTTGGCACGAGTATTGTGTGAAGAGACAAATATCAGAAAAGAACTTTTACAACTTTTAAATCATAACTAAACTATAAAATGTAATGATGCATATTAATGCATGTGTTATTTGTTATATTATTTATTTATTATTCACTATGACCTAGCAATGGTGTGATTTTGTTGGGGTTTTATTTTTTCCTATTAACTATCAATATTTTAACATTTATATATTTATATAATTATAAACAGAGCTAAACCATTGCAATATGTAAAAGAAACGCTGAAAATTCCATGCTGTAAATTGTTATTGTTGTGGAATAAAGGGATTATATTATTGTTATTATTACAACCTAAAGTATTTACCATAATTAATAGTACAAAACATATTCCAGTATTAATTCTGTAGTATACATACATTTCACACTGTACTGTGACCATATTTCCTTCTGAAATATACATATATACATACGATAATCTGAAAATTGTGATGACCTACTTCAAAATAGTTCAATAGTGTCACAGTTACTAAGGTCTGCTGGTGACTTCATTTTGTCACAAGCTAATACATAAGAAACACACTCCAAGTTTTCCTGTACATGTGACTAATGCCCAGCTTCAAGTTTAAACAGTAATAACAAAAGAAATTTAAACCTGTCGGTAGTTTCTAGCTCTCAAGTCCTATTGTGCAGAGATCTGATTGATTTCAAAAATAATCAGTGACTGATGTCAGTCAGAGAACTATTCTAAACCAGGGAGTATTGGACAGTTGTTTTCTCCGTGTATAGGACTCTTCATCAGCGCGTACCTATGGCCTAACTGATTACATTGGCTGGAGGTTACATTATGTCGCTAATTGGCGAAAGTTAAAATCCATGGACCACTGGATTCACCCTACAAGCTCACCTTATCACCTGAAGTTCCTAGACTCGATCCCTGATAGGGTCGTAGATGCGTGCTGCTGAGACGTTTCTAGTTCTTCAAGTACCCTCATGTTCACCTTGAACAGACACCATACGCAATTTAAAAACTGGACGTAAAATTTTTGAAAGAAACTGTTGCCGAATAATTTTTACTAAGATTTCTAATTATCTGAATAGAAAAATTACATAAATAGTGGTATCGTTTGTTGTACCTCCAGAACTAAGTGCATTATTAAAAAATAAATGCTAGAAAACCGTGTATCACATAACTTTTATTTCCTTTAATTCCCAGAGGGACATAGGGCTTCATCCGCACGTCTTTATTGCTTTCAGTTCTCTGCTACAGTTTACACCTGGCTCCAGGTCTGCCCACATGCTTTCATTTCTTCTTCTTCACATAACCTCCTCCATGTCACTCTCACAATGATCACCAACTCCCCGCTTCCCCTTCGGCCTGGTTCCACTCGAGCAATGGCTTGTCTTGTGATGTCGCTCACTTGATGGTTTCCTCAGAGTATGGCCAGCCAATCCACCTAACTCCATTTCTTCCTGCCTATCTGTTGCACAATCGGTTCCTGCTCGATTGGTTCGCTCATTGCCAGAGATCCATGTTGCTGGTATTTTCTGGCTGGCCATCTGATCTTGAGTACCGAGGGAAGACAGCTATTGATGAAGGTCTGTAGTTTGTTTGAGATGGTCTTTATGACGCTCAGTGCAAGTCTCTGATCCACATAGTAAGTAGCACTGACTGACTTCACATTTTAGTTGAAAATCCGGATCTTATTCTCATTTTCATGCTGAGTGCTGTTGAACCCAACACAGACTTGACGTGAGTAATGAAAGCTTCTCTTGTTTTCCCGATCCTCGCTGCCTTGATATCCACATCATTTCCGTCCGCCTGTAGTTGAAACGATGCTTCCCAGGTAGGTAGGTGAGTGAGGTTGTTTCTTTCAGGTTCCTCCCATTCATGCTGGCTGATTGTTGTCTGTTGTTGTTGCTGTTGCTGGTGTTGGCCGGGAATCTTCATCCCCTCTGTTTTCTCTATGTTAACCTGAATTCCTATCTTGTCTAGATGCTTCCTCTGTCAACTTGTTGCTTTTCACTTGCATATCTTCCAGTTTGTGGGAAATCGGACAAATATCATCATCGGCGAAGTTCAGATCCTCCAAGTTGTTCGTGAGAGTCCATTTTTGACCTGTTTCGTCATCACCCTCTGTCTGTCGCATTATCCAATCTACCGCAGTTTGGGGCAACCATTGGAGATAGTAGGCGACTGTCTTATCTTACTCCCGTCTTCACTTCGAAGGATTCCGTGAGTTTCCCGTTGTGGAATTCACAGACCTCTGTTATATTACACTGTCCTGTTTTACATGTTCTGAATTTCTGAATTCATAAAGGAAAAGACTGGTGGAAAAGGAACGGAAATTCAAATGTCAAAGTGGAGAATAATGATTTCAGATCATCACAAAATACACGTGATATCTTTGTCTTTCGTTTCTATTGATATATTCATATCCGATTTCAAGTATCTAAATTCTCTCATTATCTGCTTAGGATATTTCTTTTTATTTAATCAGAACTTTCATGGATTCGAATGTCCAACAGTTCAGTAGTCAGAGATTTTAAAAAATAATACTCTACTTTCAGCTGCCATAGTCAGCTTTTTAAAACTTGACCACACTTCAACTACAAAATTGCTCCATATAATTTTTCATAGCTAGAAATATCTTACAAATGTTATTGGGTGGTATATTTTGTACTTTTACTAACAGAAATTTACACCGTTCAGTCATAAATTTTGCAAACTATTATTTAAGTGATTGGATTTGGTCCTGTAGATAACTTTAAAGGATAAATCACATGGGGTTGAATAACCTGACTCTAGACGAAGTTCACAAATTGAAGACTTTGTCTTGCTTTGCTCACCTTTCACCAACGAAATTGTGTAGTCTTCAGATAGGCGTTTACGGAGAACATGTTTACAACGTCCAATATAATCAGTCCCACATGGACATTGTAAGCATCATTTCAATACCCTATGGAATATCTTTGTAAGTTGTTGGTTATCGATGCAGGATATGGCCCGCAATCCTATAACTATTGTAAATAACTATGCTTCTTTACATGGATGTCTAAATGATGAATTACTTTACTCAAGAGAACACGTGCAAGTTAATCAAACGAAAAACGCCCTGTAGGATTAGCTTAGAATATACAGTAGTTTGACACCAAGATCTAAAGATGCTAAAACTTCTTCAAATGTATACATATATGTATAAACGATTATCTGACTTCATAGCTTTGCTAATAGAGTTGTGGTAATTTATTTAAAATTTCTCTAAAATTAGTTTTATAGAGATGTATCTTTGTAATATGAGGGGGTTTCGTTATCGAAATTGAAGTTATATTTTTCCACCAGTCATCTTGAATTTTAATATATATTCCTCTATAAGACTGAATAGACAATTCCTTATTTTTTAGGTTGCAGTTTAATGATTTATCAAGTGAACGTTTGTCTCAGAGACTGAAAATAAACATTGGGAAAGAATTCTGCCTACCAAGTCTTTGCATACTGTTTCCTATTTGGTGAAATATTTTGTCTTAACTTAAGTATATATGCCAGAGAGTTTTGCCATGCTAATGTGTGCATGTCAACTGCATGGAGGATTTCATCATGAGCTGACATCAGTTAGGCAATCACTAAAAAACCTGGGAGTACTAAACAGCGCTTCCGTCCTAGTTTGGGACTCCTCATCAGTGCGCACCAAACGTGGTTGGAACCCAGGATCTTCTGGTTACAAGGTGAGTTCATAGACCATTAAGCCACTGGGCCCCGATCCAGTGGCCAGGGCATGAATTCTAACTTATGCCAATTCACAAGATAACGCTACCATTTCGCAATATCTTCTTCGATGAGTTACTGCTTCATCTTCGATCTGCTGTACCTTACTGGTCACGGCTTCCCATGCAATCAAACAAAATCCCTACAAAACCAATATTTGAAAATATATATCAGTTCCCATACTCGAATGAAGGCAGTTACATTTAGCATACAACTGAAGAATTAAGCTACTATATCACAGACTATCTGTCATCTAGGCTGGGTAAGGGTTAGGTAAGACATATTTGGAATGCATTTCTGTTTGATCCAGTTGATATTGGGTGGTCAGTAGACGAAAGAAAGTATTCAGTGTGATTCTAATTATTTCTGTATACGCCTAACCCTAGGCCTAACTAATAATCCTAAAGGGTGTATTCAGGAACACTCCATGCAGCCTCTATCCCAGGCTTGAATAGGGAGGCTTGCTTGATCTACTTCCCTCAAAGTTTAGCATTACTTTATCGCATTATTTATCTTCTAATCCATTATCTATTACGTCTGTCTGAATATTTGTTCTTGTATAGTCAATGTGTTTTCACTATTCTCGTTATTACAAGTTTCATAGATGCTGGTTACTACTATCCCTATTATTACTATTGTAATTATTATTTTTACAGTATGCAGCATTTGTGGCTAATTATCGTTCTGCTGACAAATTAGTTTACTGTAGAGTTAAATTTACTAGAATAAAGCATAAAGATGAATAATTCTCAAGCTGGTGTCATTTTGTGAAGTGTAACCGAAACCAAAAGAAAATTGATATTTTTAATTCACCAATGGCTTAGTAACATGTAACTTCAGATAAAATGGAGTATGAACTGCTGAATTCGGCTTGTGATCTAATCGATACTGACAAATCTTGTTGTTTGGTTTCACTTAGTTATAAGGACAGAAAAATCCGCTTGATGGCTGATCAGTGTGGCGCTAAACTCAGTGGTAATTTTACTGTCTCATAAACTGACAATCTTAAAATAAATACTTTTTGGAGTTTTTGTATTACCTCTCCAACCCTCTTTGGTTAATATCGTTCATTTTCATCACCAAAGAAATCATCCATGAAATGAATTAGATGTTTATACACTAAACTACAGAGGAATAGAGCAATTCTTCACCCAATTTAATTTTGCAAATATTCATAATAATATTCACAATAAACTTACCAAAGTATAGCATAAGCTTCCAATAGTTATAACAATACTTTGCGCACCCAGTTCACGAGCTCCCAAGGAACCTATTAACAGAAATTATATAAAATGTGTTACGTGACGTTTAACATGGTTTTTCAAACTGGTGTAGCAGCGCTAATCTATGGTGTTTTACTTATTATAGCAAAAAGCATTTTTATTATGAATCTAATAACACAAGAAGGTGAGTCGGTGGCACAGTGATAGAATGCTCGCCAACCACGCACATGATCTGGGATTTGATCCCCTGATGATGCACTCCTTGACCTCGGTAAACCAGTAATAAGACTAGTGAAGAGGGAAGGTTTGGCACGAAGCTAGCAACCTATATCTTGTAAAAATAAACACCACTGCTACTAAAACTTTAAACCTCTAGCTTGAAACAGCCCTATGTTCCACCGGGAACGTAAAAGGATAAAAAAAATAATAACACAAGGAAAATAACATTTGGATTAACGTGATTTGTAATTGCATGTTCTCTTGATTGTATTTTACAGTTTTAAATCTTCATCACAATGAACAAAGTTCTTTGATTTCAATATCTTTTAGTATTATTTCTACAACAGTATCTACCGCTAAACTATTGACATGAGGTTTAAATTCACTCCCCATAACTACAAGGTATAAGTTTGTCGGATTAACACAAAATATTCTATTACCCTAGGATTTTAATAAATCATTAGCTTCTCCTTCCCCCCCCCCAAAAAAAATTCAGGGTAACTAAGAGTGATGAAAGGATCTATCCATGTGATGCTGTAAGCTTGATTTCATTCTCTTCGCTTTACTCATGATCATATGTACACAACATAAAGTCAAATTTTTATCTCTTCAATTCTCGAATGAAACAATGTGAGTGGTAGACTCTCACAGGCTTAAAATAAAGGACCTGTGAAATGTTAAGTGACATATTTCTTAAACAGATTTCTCAGTAATTTTTCTGTCAGATATTTCAATCTTACAAGAGTTGATTTGTAAGGATTAGATTTGCTTTTACAAGTTTGACCACGGATTGATATCAGTTAGAGAACCCCTGAAAACCAGCTGGGAGTACTGGACAATCGTTTTATCTTAGCCTGGGAATCATCGGAAGAATGCACCCACTACCGGAGTTCTAACCTAAGACCTTCCAGTTACATGATAAGCTCGTATAACATTCAACCACTGGGCATCGATTCAGTGACCATCCCTGATCTTACTTTTTGCTTTAAAAGGTCATATTTACCCACTTAGATCGTGTTCTGAATAAAATACTACTAGACCTTTTAAAAAAATAAGTTTCCCATACATGTTTTCCAATTAATAAATGCATAATGAGTTTTATGCCTTTACAGAGTGAATCTTATCTATTCACCTAAATTGTTAAGATGACTGAAGCCTCCTTGCCTTAGTTACGTTTTAGTGGTTGTTAGTTGGAAATGATTTTGCAGAATCTTGGAAACTGGAATTATTATTGATGACGTAGTGTATTTGTTTCTTTCATTGCTGACTAGTGAAAGAATAGGTGTAGTGAAGACTTTCTTTAAGTACAGAGTGGGGTTCCCTTAATCCTTACGCAAACATGAAATGATTTTCTAAGTCAGTTAAGACTAATTGTAAAAACAAGCTTAAAAATGACGTGATAAATGACTATTTTAAGCAATGGCATTTATCTACTTTTATTATTCTGCTATCAAGAGAAGTAAAATGTGAATTTTAAATATTTCTAGGAGGCAGATATCGTCTTCACGATTAGGTAAAAACAACAAGGTGTCATGAGGTTTCGAAAACTTACAGGTAAAGAAGTTAAATTAACCGAATTCATGCAAGCTTTCCAGTAAGTTGAAATGAACAGAAGTCTAATACACTTCGTACTATAATAATCGCAATATTTTATTACCTACACACTGACGATGCTCTCGATTTAACAATGCAAATTATAGCCTTAGTTTATGAAAATATCTGAATACCAAAACATTATTCCACATTATAGGAGATCTTTGATTATTCTTACCAGCAATAAAACCACCAATCTCATAAATTGTCCATTCTAAGCTGACCATAATTAGACCAGGAATTGCCAGACGAAACCATGTATCCCAGTCTTCCCATATTTCTTTGGTTGGTGCTAAAATACACACAAAAGAGTGAGTTGATAATATATATACTCAAAAAAGATGGAATTATTATTTTCCAATATTTTCTCAATTTAAGACTAAAATAATTAGCAGTCGATTTGTATTCAAACGATCCAACCCACAATGTTTTAAATAGATCAGTTTTTTTCCATTTTCAATAACATCATTTTACAGTTATTAATTAAAAACAGGAAATTTAGTTCATGCAAATCTTCATAAAAGGACATAAAACATAACTTACTGCTATTATATGCTTCAGTAGTTCAGGGGGAGAATGTTCTCAAACTTTACACGAGTTACATAAATTATAAACCGAAGAAAAAAAGTGGAGAGGTTGGGTGCGACACTAGTAACCTTAACCCATACAACACAGTCGTTACTGAAACTTGAAAGTTCAAGCTATCCCGTTTGGACCGCAAAGGGAAAACAGATACTCATAACTATTATTATTTCCTTTAATTCCTAGAGGAACATAGGGCTTCAGGCGCGCATCTCCATTGTCTTCGGCTCTCTGCTGCAGTTTACACCTGGCTCCAGGTCTGCCCACATGCTTTCATTTCTTCTTCACATAACCTCCTCCATGTCACTCTCACAATGACCACCAACTCCCCGCTTCCCCTTCGGCCTGGTTCCACTCGAGCAATGGCTTGTCTAGTGATGTCGCTCACCTGATGGTTTCCTCAGAGTATGGCCAGCCAATCCACCTAACTCCATTTCTTCCTGCCTATTTGTTGCACAATCGGTTCCTGCTCGGTTGGTTCGCTCATTGCCAGAGATCCATGTTGGTGATATTTTCTGGCTGGCCATCTGATCTTGAGTACCGAGGGAAGACAGCTATTGATGAAGGTCTGTAGTTTGTTTGAGATGGTCTTTATGACGCTCAGTGCAAGTCTCTGATCCACATAGTAAGTAGCACTGACTGACTTCACACTGGAGTTGAAAATCCGGATCTTATTCTCATTTTCATGCTGAGTGCTGTTGAACCTCACACAGACTTGACGTGAGTAATGAAAGCTTGTCTTGCTTTCCTGATGCTTTCTTTGATATTCACATCATTTCTCTCCGCCTGTAGTTGAAACGATGCTTCCCGGGTAGGTAGTTGAGTGAGGTTGTTTCTTTCAGGTTCCTCCCATTCATGCTGGCTGATTGTTGTCTGTTGTTGTTGTTGTTGTTGCATTTTGCTGGTGTTGGCCAGGAATCTTCATCACCTCTGTTTTTTATATGTTAACCTGAAGTCCTATCTTCTCTGGATGCTTCCTCTGTCAACTTGTTGCTTTTCACTTGCATATCTTCCAGTTTGTGGGAAATCGGACAAATATCATCATCGGCGAAGTTCAGATCCTCCAAGTTGTTCGTGAGAGTCCATTTTTGACCTGTTTCGTCATCACCCTCTGTCTGTCGCATTATCCAATCTACCGCAGTTTGGGGCAACCATTGGAGATAGTAGGCGACTGTCTTATCTTACTCCCGTCTTCACTTCGAAGGATTCCTTGGCATTACTCATTACTTTTATTATATGTTTCAGTTCACTTATGTTTGATAAGGTAAAAGTGTAATATTCGTAGGTCGTTTTGATTCATTACAAATCGCTACGTGCATTAAATCCTTTTAGAAATACTTATGTAATTTTTATAACCTCAGTCAGGGTTATTCCATACACCAAACTGTTCTAATTATATATACATATATACATGGCTAAGTAAAGGTGTATTAAAAACCGCCAACAGTTCAATATTAGACCATGTGTTCCGATCTGGTCACAAAGCTAACCAGCACTGAAGAATTCTCTTCTGTCATCTATCGAGTACTAAATAAAGTGCTAAAAACATTGAAACACTGCATGCTCCAAACAGCAAAGGCTATCACGACTCCCCTGAAACAACCAGTCCTTTGTGCGTAAAAGAAGCAAGCCCAGCCACTACTAGTGCCCTGTCCGGAGTTCACTGGAGAAAATAAATTCATTAATTTTTGTTATTATCTTTCCTAATTTATCTAATATTCAGTGTATTGTTATTTTGATGTTATCGAACTGTAATCCAATGATATTATTATTGCTTCGATGTTATTGGAACAACATTAATGTTGGTAATAATACTAATTCATTCAATATTATTAATATATAGCTGTAGAACCTGATGATGAAGCTATCGAAAAGAGTATTCTTTGTTCAGTAATCATTCTTTTGAAAATAACATGTTTTATAAATATTCAAGTAATTTCTTGTTTTGGGAAGCAAGTGACGCCAAGTATACATAACGGAACTTGATAGGAATTACGATGTGAGAACTATTCACCACTTTATTAAAAAAGTACTTACATAAAATAATGATTGTAGCAATAGCTGATTGTTTATTCGTATTTTTGTAGTCTGTTGGCCGTCATAAATGCTTTCATCACCTGTTTATGTGCTCAGTTTATGAATTTTTATTTCAAAAAAATATAATTTCTTGTTTATAAACTCCAAACAATTAAAAAAAATGACAAACTGACAACATTAACCTAAACGTGTTACACAAGGTGTGAAACTAGCTGACACAACGGAATGTGTTTCGTTGAAAACAGTAAAACTTTTTAAGTTAGATTTTACGAATAGAATGATCAAGGCAGAAGGATTCGTGTCTTAATCCACTAATTACTTCATCGAAATGTCAATTCTACCATTCTCTTACCCTATGACTGTTTTCAGTGATGCATAAATAAAAGATTCATTTCTGAGTTTTACAGAGGGCTATAAACAACTGTTTATGCTATTGATATGACTAACTCATAAAGCATAGCGTTGTTATAGTTATGAATGGTAATTTATTGTAAAGCTAACTTACTAAAGCTCATAATCTTCGAAAAATCAGCTAACCGTATGTAGATGATAAGGCATACCACCTGAAAAAAGTATGCTATCGCTTGAGATATTGCCGAAGCACTGAAAATAAGAAAGCAAGCGAAACAACCTGTAAAATCTACAATAATATTCATGTTAGTACAAAGAAGTTGAAAGTCAAAATTTGAAAAATAGAATCTACTTAATGATAAATTAATACATAAGATTTGTAGCTTAGCCATTTTTATAGGCGTTCATGTATTTTCTAGGTTGAATGTCTTAAATGCAAAGCTTTGATTGTATGCTTTCGATTCAACACTAGTTAGGAAATAATGTTATGCACCTAGTCCTCCGTTCAGTGCAGACTCTGTTCTATCAGTCACGTTTGCAATGTGGCCACCATTCTATGTGGCTTGCCATCATGGTACTTTGTGAATTTTTGGTATTAGGTGGTTGAAGGTAATAGGCAGGAAGCCTCGGATCTAGTGTCGCGGGTTCGAATTTCAGAAGGCATTTGAGCTGCTTCAAGGTTGCAGGTACGCTCTGATGACGAGTACCAAGAAGCACGAAACCTAGATCCAAGGCTTCCTGTCTAGCGCATCCAACTATTTAATAAAAGCGATTATTTCTTGTGGAACTGAGCTCTTGACACGCCCCTATTCATCATGACTACTTGCTCTGTATGTAACTAGTCTAAAAATATGACGGACTCATTTTGGAATATTTTATAAAAATGATACGTATCATCTTTGATAAGAAAATATTTATTATTTTACCTGACATCCATTCCCAGTACATAGATTAGTATATAATGCATCAAGGCATTGATACCGTTCACCAGAATCATTATAAACAAGGGTGGATAAACACGATTCTGAAAAGAAAAGTTGAGGATAAATTAACAGGGCTTTAGTTATAAATATCAGCAGTTCATTAACACCAGTAAAAATTTAATAGTGAGAGATGTCAGTATCACTTTGATCAGATTTTAAAACTTCCACTCATCTTAAAATCTTTGAAGCACTTTAAGAAATGCACTGAACATCACTTTTAGATCATTTATCATTGTAACTGTTATTTGTCAAATTATGTACACGACAAGTAATAACGACCATTATTCTACCGTAACTGTTCTTTGTATCAGTAGTTTAAGTTCAGAAAAAAGATCAACTCATCACACAATGACTGATATCTCAAAATTGTTCACCTTTATACAATTTGTGTTCATTTTATCACAACAATAATTTGTCTATTAATCTGGAAATAAGAAGGTTTCAGTTCGCTATTAACCAAAAGATATTTTACTCTATTGTTTGGTTCTAAATTCATTTTTACGAAAAAATGGAGTGAACTAGAGAACTACTGAAATCTGAAGACAGCCAATTTTTCACACACTTAGAATTACAATTTAATGTGTATTAATGACAGTGAAAGAGGTATCATTGAAATACAGCGTCGTTTTTCAACTACATATGATTCTGTAAAGAGGTTAACAGCACTCAGCATGAAAATGAGAATAAGATCCGGATTTTCAACTACAATGTGAAGTCAGTCAGTGCTACTTACTATGTGGATCAGAGACTTGCACTGAGCGTCATAAAGACCATCTCAAACAAACTACAGACCTTCATCAATAGCTGTCTTCCCTCGGTACTCAAGATCAGATGGCCAGCCAGAAAATATCAGCAACATGGATCTCTGGCAATGAGCGAACCAATCCAGCAGGAACTGATTGTGCAACAAATAGGCAGGAAGAAATGGAGTTCGGTGGATTGGCTGGCCATACTCTGATGAAACCATCAAGTGAGCGACATCACTAGACAAGCCATTGCTCGAGTGGAACCAAGCAGAAAGGGAAGCGGGGAGTTGGTGGTCATTGTGAGAGTGACATGGAGGAGGTTATGTGAAGAAGAAGAAATGAAAGCATGTGGGCAGACCTGGAGCCAGGTGTAAACTGCAACAGAGAGCCGAAGACAATGGAGATGCGCGCCTGAAGCCCTATGTTCTTCTAGGAATTAAAGGAAATATTAATAATTTGATAATGATTCAACAGCTTTACTGTTGTGATTATCTGAATTAAGGAGTTGCAACCTATTCAATGTTGACAGGGGCGCAAGGCAACAGCTTCTTCTCATGCACTCACTTTAAAGATTTTTGAGAAATAATGTGTTATTTATTGTAAACGTTAGTTCTCAGTTTAAACGAACGGTGTTTTTTTAAGGTTATCCATAAAAAGATGTAGTGTGTAGATAGTTCACTTGTGTGTAGTATGCTGATATAGTGTTGGCTGATGACTTTATAGCTAACGTTACGAATCTTCCCAGGTTTCAAATACTTTGAAATTCTTCTGAAACGCTTTCTGCACCAATGAGTTTAGACGTTGAGACACAAGTCAACGCTCACCAAGAGGTAGAAACTAAATATTTGATATTTGATTCCTTTTTTTACACTTCTCGTTGTCTATAAACCAATTACATACTTTGAATCTGGGCATTAAACTGTATGTAATAAACACTTGATTATGAATACCAATGGCTTAGGCTAGTGATTTCTAATTAGGAAGGTTTTAGTAGGTGATCATAATTCTGATACTTTTTATTTCGTCGATCATATTTTTATTTGAAATCAAAACAATATTTTGTATATTATCTAAACTATGACTTGAAAACTGTGACTGAATAGTAAACTTAACTCAAGAAACTCTACTATTAATCTACTGCTGTTTGGTAACTCATTGAAGTAAATTCAGTATTTACCAGAAAGAGACAGTTAAAGATAATTGTTTCAAATCTTCACCGTCTGACAAATATTTGTTTTCAAGTATTGGTTTGTAGGGATTTGGTTGATTGGTTACAGGATTTCATCATGAGCTGACATCGTTTAGAGAACCATTAGAAAACTAGCACTGCAGTACTGGACAGCTGTTTCGTCAATCTAGTTTGGGAATCTTCAGCAGAACGCATCCACCGGGATTCGAACCCATGACATTCTGGTTACAAGGCCAACAAGCTCGTAGATTATTAAGCCACGAAGACCCAATCCAATGGCCAGTTCATGAATGCTAACTTCTACCAATGCACGATATAGCGCAACCGTTAGCCGATGTCTTCGGTGAGTATTTGTCCTTATACCCGACCTGCTGCACTCTACTGGTCACGACTTCCCGCTAGAACCTTAGGTAACAACCAATCCGAATAGGGCCAGTCGCCAGTGAGCATCAGGTGTGAGGACAAATACTCGCCGAAGACACTGGCTAGCGGGTGCACCATATCGTGAATTGGCAGAAGTTGGAATGCATGGGCCATTGCATTGGGTCTAAGTGGCTTAATGATCTACGAGCTTGTTGGCCTTGTAACCAGAAGGTCCTGGGTTCGAACCCCGGCGGTGGGTGTGTACTGATGAGGGGCCCAAAACTGGAACAAAGCAGCTGTCCAGTACTCACTGCAGGTTTTCCAATGGCTCTCTAACCGATGTCAGCTCATAATGAAATCTTGTAACAAATATTTGTTTGATGTAGCTGTGTTTCCTTGGCTAGAATGCCGAATTGTGAAGCTTTTCTTCTGCCCATTTTGAAGTGAGTTTTCGAAATTCTTATTCTATGTAGGGAGTATTCGTCACTTCTTGTGATGTCTTACTTCATCCTTCTTTCCTTCCAAACCTTCTGTATTAGTGATATGAGCATGTCTACTGAGGTTCATTTTCAGATGGAAATTGGTTTCAGCCAGTAAATGATTTACTGGTTGTTGAGAAAGATAGTTTTAAGCAATATCAGAAGACTGATAACTTTTAAATTTAGGATTTATAAGGAGTCTTCGGGAGGGAGTTAGAGCAAGACATATAAGCGAACAACATTGTTGTTTTCAATTAGATCTTCTTCAGGTTTTACTCTAATTTACATTGATTCATATATAAAGATTTTTAACCAATGACGGTGATTTTGTGTATCAAATAATAACGAAGATTATAATGATAACAAAATTTTGATAATAAGGTTTATGCAGGTGGCGATAAGAATAACAAAGTTAGTAATATGTGTATATGTAGACAATTCAACAAATAAATTAGGTCGAATCTTAGAAGTTACGTAATACTAAAAGTGAAGTGGACAGATAATCAGAGTTTAAATAAATATCATAAAAGTACAAAGAAAGTGGAAAATAACAAAGAGTGGGAGGGTTTTTATTAGAATTCACCTAGGACAAGAGATAGACAAAGGTAGAACAAACTTCTTTCGTGTGCAAAGACTAGGATTTTTCTCTCGAATTAATTCCCATAGCTTCGACTATGTGTAAAAGACGGATTCGAATTCCGTTCGAAAGGCTTGATGGAATGCGATAGATAACTTTGAAGGCAACATTTTTGTCCTCTTGGTGACCGCTATCAATCAAATGAGCCAAAATGGGACTTCTTATAGATTTTATTTGGCCTTTTCCAAACAATCAAGAAAGATGCTCATTAATGCGTTTGTTAAACTGTATAGTTTTTCATCCTATATACTTCTCTCCACAGGACCAACTAAATTTATAGATGCACATAGACGTGGCACAGCTAGGTATCTTGTCTTTCACTTGAGCAATCATAATTGGCCGGCTTGAAAATGACAAACAAAGGGTGGTGGCAGTATAAGTCCGTTTTATCGCTCTCGATAGTCTCAGATGTAAGACTTCACTAACCACGTCCCGATTAAATTCCAATTTCATGAACAGTTGTTTCTTTTCAACTGTGTTGTCAGTTTCTCTTTATTGTACCTGGTTTTCATGTGTCTCCTTATAAATCTACTAGAATAACCTATTTGGACCAGCGTATTTTGGATGTATCCTAACCAATCCTCCTCCTCCTCCTCATTCACGTCTTTGGACATTGCTTATTGTCAGATTACAACTCAAATTGTAAGCATCTTTTGTCATGATTAATCATTATTATCTCTATTATTTTTAATAGTTATTGACAGTCTTAATAGGCACACTTAGAGTATAAACGTAATTATATGTAGAGATAACAATCAGCTTTAACATAAACTTATGCTAATTTAAACTACAAATCAATAGATTGAAATCTTTAACATACCTGTGTCTGTATAAACTTGATTAACAGCTGACCAAGTGCACCAAACTAAAACAAGCAAAATTATTTATTTGCACAGTGTGTTTCTTTAAACTTACAATCAATGCAGGTATGAGGTAGAGTAATAGATTTGCAGTACCCCTGTTCAATAAAAAAAAATAAAATAAAAACAGAAAAGGTTCATGATTTATCATTCAAAAAATATATAATACGATATTCTAAACATTCAAATTCAGATAGAATATATGTTAACACTGGTATATACCTGGTAAGTGAAACTAACGGGCGCATTTAAACTCTCTGTTTAATCAAAACTTGCATTATAAGCAAGGAAAATGATTAATATTTAATGCAAACATATCTTATTATAGAGAAAAACCGTACTACTATAATACAGGACTGTTCTGAGTTTTAATGAACACAAAATAAAACCAAAAGCAACAGTGTGTCTGCTGAAGACATCTTTTTGATGTGAATATTAATAATCTGTCTGTCTGGCTGACTTCAACCTAGAACTTTGCACCGGTGTGCAGCAGTTCAAGTCGCCACACTTCACTCAGCAAACAAAACCAGAAAGGAAAGTAAAAAGAAACGCAAAATACAGACAGTGAACAGAGATAAGAGGCAAAAAGAATAGTAATATCGAAGAACAATATAGTTTTATTGGATATTATAAGTCACAAGGTGTGGATGCATCTGCCTCAGCCATTGAAAACGATTTTCAGCCATACCACCGATTGTCTCCAGCCATTGGTGTTTACCGTCCCAAGGACCGCAGCCAGGAAGTCTACGCCTGGCTTAAACTAACTGATGTGGATTTTATTGACTGATGAGGCCATGTTTTGGTTTGACCACCAGTGGCTGGTTTTCACCCTGACCCAATTTCAATTAAGATTGCCCTTGAGGAAGGCGATGACTAAGCATTGCTCACTCTATTAAACCATTTCACAATGGAGATAGAACTCAGGCACCTATTATCAAAGAGAGTTAACCAGGCTTTTCATATCTTCCACTCTTAATGTCTAGGTCTCACATCCATAAAGGAGTATGGAGCGGACTGCTGAGCAGTACACACATCCTTTGGTCAATAGCCATCACGTCTACGCCAGAGACTGCGTAAACTGGCATATACGAAACTAGCTTTCTGTATCCTTGCTGAGATTTCGCCAGCGATCAACCTATTGGGGATGATCTAGCTTCCCAAATAGGTGAAGTGGTCAACACGCCCCACCACAGCACTCCCTATTTCTTAGCTAGGAGTCAGTGTAGTCCAGTCCTGCAGCATCAACCTAAATTTGACAGGAGTGGTACCCTTTATTGTAATTTACTTAATAAGTATCGGAACTTATATACATATAGCGACTAAGCTAGTGGATTTTACTATTTTTCAATGAACTCAGTAAAAATTTCTAAAAAGAACGTTTAAACTTACTGAGCAATTAAAGGATTTTGTCCCAGCAACAAAAGAACCGGTTCAGCATTTAAATAAAAAGCACACGATGGAATGCAGCACAGTGAAATTAAAATAATGGCTGGAAAAGAAAGGATACAAATATCAAAAAAATACAATTAGGAACATTTAGTCTACGTATGTTTATTTGTAGATAGTCTAGGTATGCTTACACAGAAAAATTAGCGTGAAGTAAGGCATTCTTTGTGGTGCAAACAGACTACTGTTATCGAAGGTTAGATATAAGTATGAAAGTACACGAGGAAGTTTATCTGCCCACAGCTCTATATTTTTTTGTATTAGAACAAATAATTATTTCTGATTATTAAAAGTTAATGACTGAGGTATATGTGGCGTGTGCTAGTGATACAATCTATCAGTAGTATATGTAAATACAATGAGATTTTCATCGGCATAAAAACATCAAATAGGAGGGAGATAGTTTTGATGTCAAAGAAAGCTAATGACACAGCGTTGAGGAGATACATGGGGGATGTGAAATGAACACAACAAAAACACACACACTATGAAGGCCAGAAGTAGCACCACACGGAAGATCTGAGCAAATGATGATTTGCAGATATCAAATTCCAGATAAACATTCTTGTACGAAGTCTTTCTTTTTCTATGGTTACATAAAAACCGTATTTTTCATGTTTACTAAACACTAAAAACAATTAGCAATCCAGAACTGCTGTACTTCTCCCTCTCTCTCTCTCTGTCTAGTTTATAACTCTTAGAGTGTATTTTTAAAGTCAAACATCAATCATTAACGGTCAATTAAGCATCTAAGAGATTATTATACCCTGATAAAAAGACACAGTTTAGCGTCTTAGTTGATGATGATGATGAAAAAACACTGTTTTCACGATTATTAAACATTTTCTTTTTGAATTTCATCAGTTTAACCGTTGATTCACCTATTAGTATGCGTAACATTCCCTCAAGGTATTTTCAAACACCTAACCAATTATCACTTAGTACATTGTAATTTGTAATCTGCAAAGTAAACGAGTTGGGGATCACCTCGAAGGTGACATGGAAGAGGTTGTGTGTGAGGATGAGATGAATGACTATGGGAAATCATGAAGGCAGCATAAGAAAACTGAAGGGAATAAGGCAAAATGGAGATATGCTGTTGAAGCCCTATAGTCCACTTGGAATCCATGGGAAGACTAATATTATGTTATTATTGTAACATTATAAGAAGCTATTCAGTACTTGTGAGAAATTAACTTACCTCTATAAAGTTGCAGGACCATTTTATTTTTGATTGTGCTTCCATATGTCTGGTATGATTTTCAAAACAAAGTAAATATATAAATAGGAAAGTGTTAATAATAAGTAAAACTCAATAATACCCACTTATAATTATAATCTATACCGGTTTCAATGATATTAAATGGTTGGAGACAAGCGGTAGGAAGCCTTGAACCTAGCTTTCGTCCTAGTTGGCATTCATCATTAAGGCGTATCTGCAATCTTCAAGGGATTCATGTACATTCTGAGATTCAAACCCCCGTCACCCAATGCTACAGGCACGGACGTGACACCTGAGCTATTCGGGCTGGCGACTGACCTCCTTCCTGTATGACTGTATTGGATACTCTGATTGGACACTAGTCTAGTCCCATCTTTGTTACAGACTCAATTCTGTCAGTCACGTTTTTAATGTAGCCACCACTCTAGGCAGCTCGATATCATGCTACTCTTTGAACTGTTGACATTAGATGACTGGAAGCAATAGGCAAGGAGCTTTGGACCTGGGTTTCGTGCCAGTTGAATTCTGAAACCTTGAATGAACTCATATCTCTTCTGGGATTCAAACCCGCATCACACAGTGCTGCAGTCACAGACGTTACCACCGAGCTATTTGGGTTCTTTATTGACCTCCTGTAGGACTGTATTAAGCACTTTCATTGGGCGTTGATTAGTAATTATTGCAGTGTATCTAGGCCTTTGCTTGATTCAGGGTGAATTTTATCAGTGAAGTTTACAGTCTTACCACTATGCTGGATGGCTAGGTTGGGTACCTAGCCTGACACACGGTTTGATGGCGTTCCAGAGACTTTTGTTTCCAGACATTTCAGAAGCGACAATATACTCAGAGACCTAATGGATGTGTTCAAGGTTTGAAGAAGACGGTACGGTGCACGCATGCGCCTAGCCATGATGATGTTTTATCAATAATTCACAGTTCATTGTGATGGCGAGCCACCTAATAATGTTCACCACATTGCAAACGTGACTGAAAGAATTTGGTCTGCAACAAACAAAGGACTAAATACATTACACTAGTCACTAATTAGTGTCCCGATCAAAAATTTGTGTAACTTATTTTTTCGGAAAACGAAGTAAGTCTGTGAAGAAAAACCAAGCATTAATAACTGTCCAAGAGAAATTGAAGTGAATGTAAATGAGCTTTAAGTGAAATGATATTCTTATATTTTTAGTATTACCATTTAACATCCTAAGTTGTAGTAGTTACAATACAATTATTGTTTTAACTGGAGGATTTCATCATGAGCTGACATCGGTTAGAGAACCATTGAAAAAACCAGCTGGGAATATTGAACAATTGTTTCGTTTTAGTTTGGGGCCGTTAATCAGTTCGCACCCACCACCAGGGGTTCAAACCCAGAACCTTCTGGTTACAAGGCCAACAAGCTGGTAGACCATTAAACCACTGGGACCCAATCTAATGGCCACTCCATGAATTCTGATATCCGCCACTTCGTATTGTCTTCTTCGATGAGTTACTGCCTAACCTTTAATTGATGAAGAGTCCCAAACTAGGATGAAGCAGCTCTCCAGTACTCCCAGTTTTTCTAATGGTCCCCTAATTGATGTCAGCTGATTATGAAATCCTCTAATCAATCAAACAAAATCCCTGCAAAACCAATACCTGAAAATTGTTGTTTTATTTAATTGTTCCTTAATAATATTTATATCTATTTTTATCTACACCACCGTAATACATCAGTTTGTGAAGCTTAGAATAAAATCTATGATTAGGACATTCTCTATGTGCAACAGAAATTGTACACTGAACCGTAGTTGATTTCAAACAGAGAATCTATCCCCCCTATCAGTGTGTGGTATTTCAGTGTATCCAGACTGAAATGGAACGGCATGTTGCTAAGTTATTCAAAAGACATAGGATTATGAATAAACTAGTGTTCTGATACATTTACTCTAATCAGTTCTTCCATACGGATCAGAAAATTGGCGGGCGGGTCACAAAGAACAGGTATTTCCAACAGCCTGTTGCGATGCAGACCTTTATCAACCAACAACTGTCTTCGCTGGCTCTATACTGAAGATCAGATGGCCGGACCGGGCCGGGCCGGAAAGAATCACCAACAACAAGAAACTATGGCTGGGAACAAACAAACAAACAAAACAAGAACCAATCGCCCAACAACAGCAAATATGCAAGAGAAAGTGGAGATGGATTGGACACTCGTTGAGGAGGAGGCCGCTGGGTGACATCGCGTGCGCATCAGGCCATTGCTTGAGTGGAACCAGGCCGAAAGTGAAGCGGCGAGTGGGACGTCAGTGCAAGAAAGACATGGAGGAGATCGTGTGAAGAGAAGTTGAAAGAGTATGGACCAACATGGATGGAGGTGAGAATTACAGGAGAAGACAGAAGTAAGTGGAGACGTTCAGTTGAAACCCTATGTTCCACTAGGGACCTATGGGAACAATAATTATAATAATCATTTGATTAGCCTATCAACATGCCGTCTACCTTCAATCGCATATCCATAATCCAGATATTTAAAACACGGATAATATTTTATCTTTTCAAATTGTTTACTTCTTTACCTGTGAGAACAACGTATCACACGCTGTGAGCAATCCAAGTATGATAAACATACCACAGATGTTGAACACTGACATTGCCAAGCCGATTATAGCTAATTGGTCTTTGCCCAAGTGACCACAGAATGCCATACTGACCGGGGAAATTGTATATATGAATACTGACGACATAGACTAAAATACAAAAAGTCAAAAAATTTATAGTGGATCACACTTTGGGAATAGTTAAAGTAAAAATATATAATTATGCAATGCAATAGTTATGTCGAACTTCAAATGTGAAATGCAATACTTTTATGCAATACTTCCCAGAGTACACTATAAAAATAAAGAATGAGTTTTTAGAAAATGTCTTTGATAGATGAATGAATATCTACAACTTTGGGATAATTGATGTTAACAAATAAATCTGAAAGGAGTCGTTCAATTTGATATACACACATCACAAGCTTTTATGATTAAAAAATCGATGAAGAGGAATATAATTTGCTTTGATATTAACATTCAATACCTGATCAAGTTGAAGCTGTACATACCATCATTGAACAAAGCATAGAACATCAGGCAAACATCTACCTCATTTAATTGACTTTCAGAAGGCCTTCGAAAGCGTTGACTTCGAAGTAGTTTGGAAAGTACTTCAACAATATAGAGTGTAGTGCCCCTAAACCTAGTTCAATAGCTATAGGACAATCCAACATATCGAATGATTCACAACGGAAAGCTCAGCAAGGCGTTTGAAGAGAATACAGAAACAGGAAAAGGTCGCTCATTATTACCAGCAACGATGGTATTCCTAATTGTGATGGACTGGATTATGCGTCAGACAGTATGTGGAAAGCGAAAAGACAGCAACACGCTGAACCGGTAAGAAGACTCCAGAAGGTTTGGACTACACTGACAGTTTATGTCTAACTGATATAAGGATAAAACTCGGGCAGTGTGGCAGAGTATATTTCCATTATGGATAAAATTTCCTTTGATAAAATCACACAGTGTTTTATAGTAAAACAGACTGATGTTTTGAGCACAGTTTATTGCTCATAGTCATATCAAGGTACTCGTATAACTTTCTTGCTTCGTTAATATACACGAGTGAAAACTGATTAGACATTTAAATATAACCAATATAAGATTAATATCTAATGCAATAAGCCTCGAAGATTTACAGAAGAAAACTAATAAACTGTCAGAACAGTGTTGCAGCGGGGACAGATATTCAAGTGAACATATAGAAGACGGAGGTAATGAAGATAAACGATCGACCAGTCTGCCAGCCACCAACAAAAACACCAACCATATCTCATCACTATAAGCGGGAGGAATTTCAAAATGGTCACTTCCTTCACTCATATCACCAGGCACCATCGTTTCCACCACGGGAACTGGAACAAAGGAAGATGCCAAAGACAGGTTTGGAAGGGCGAGGGACTCCTTCGACAACTCCTGCTCAACTAGAATGAAGAGCGCGATTCGGATTCTCACGTCCAATGTCAAGTCAGTCAGTTCTCCTATATGGGTGAGGAACTTGCAATTCGTGTGCGTCACGAAAAGCATTTCCAAATGGCAACTACAGAATTCCATCAACAGCCGGCTGTCCACTTCACTGACTGCTTACTGAAGATCAGATAGTCGGCGAGAATGGATTAGCAACAAGAAACTCTGTGGATCGGCCAATCAAGAACGTATTGCTCAACAAATATGTTAAGAGAAATGGACACACACTGAGGGGGCAGTTGAATGACATTGCACACGCGGTGCAGACCATCGTTTGAATGTAGTCCGAATGGGAAGAAACGAGTTTCGTGTGACTTTCTGGGTAACAGGGATGGGGTGGTGTGAGGATGAGATGAGTGACAATGTACAATCATAGAGCCAGCTTATGAAGACTGCAGAGAACAGGACGAAGTGAAGATGTGCCGCTGAAACCTCACGTTCCACTCGGAACCCAAGGGAACAATAACAATATAATAATACCTTGTTACAGAAATAATAACAAAGTTTTTTAGCTGAAGTAGATAACTTTTAATTGGTTATGTTTTCGGAGCTGATTTATTTGCGAAGCTTTTGTTATCACTGGACAATAATTACATAGCACGGGAAGTTAATTTCTGCATTTACTGTCTCCATCGACTATATCTAACACCACTATGTGTTGTCACGAATGATGGCGCCTGAATCGATATCGAAATATCTGTTAGCAAACTTCAAAACTCACTGTTAAACAAGTCAGTCAAAACATCTACAACCTGCAAACCAAATATTCAAACTTCATATAATCTAAATCTTCTAGCTGATTTCATTGTAAATCATTTTACAATTAGTGTATGAAGAGCCTAGATTTCCTGCAAATTAAGGGTATTATCTTCAATAAATTCCCATCAAGTTCTTACATTTGTTATCATAAAGGCGGCAAAAAGAACATTTTTTTGTACAAAATATAGTGGCTTTCTTAAAGTGAGATCCGTTCAGATTGTTGAGTAACCGGATAATTTGTATTTTGAAGAGATCTGGGGTGACTTTATCGAAAATAAACTCCTACTTATAATCACTTTAAATTTATGTATGAGATTGCTTCAGGCTCTAAAACTGTAAAAGGAAATCTCTTCATTTCGTGACAGTAACAATCTCATTTAATCGGTGTACCGTTTTCATACATGCTGGACTTACGTGTGACCAGTAGTCCAGGATGGTTTCATTTTTCTATTATCATTATTGTTATTATTAGGCGTTGATTATGCACAATACTAGCAATCAGTGCAAGAATATATTTTCATTAATGTCACTTAAAAGCAGTTAGCCGATAACCTTAAGTAATCCTAAACACTGGAAATCATTTCAAACTTGAGCAAGTTACATCTTTATAGAATTAACATATAATATAGTTTGAAATTCTCCTCTGTAAACAATATTTGTACCAGATAACGATTCCACAAACTTACAATAGGCACCGCTAGACGAATCAGAGCTTTTATTTCGGATAGAAAGCCCAAAGGATAGGCTTTTTTGAATAGTCGTTGATGACAAGGAAGGCCACGTAGATCTTCATCATCTTCTGTAAGATAATGAAAAACACAAAGGTATTTTTAAGTAAACCAGTGACTTAATTCTTTAATATTCGTGTGATGGTCTACAAATTACAATTCAAGGGGACAACAGACATCAGTGTTGCAGAGAAATGTACCCTTTAAATCAGCAAACATACAAAAGAATGAACTAATAACCAAAATAAACAAAAAAAAAACAGAAAATCTAATTAATTGCAAACTAAAATCATTTTTTAAAGTAATTTACCAAACTTCTCAAAGGCAGTATTTATACTTAAGTATACTAGTGGAACCTAACGGTGAAGTATTCTGGTATCTTTTCGTAAATACTTCAATATATATTCGCTTTCAGTGTTGGAATGTCTTCTTTTAGTGTATACTTGACCTTAGTGAAAAGGATAAAAGAGTCGAAATATGATCATGATGGATTTCTAAACATAATGATAAGTTTTAATATAGTCTGAAGCCCACCACGTTGGTATATACTACTGATGGATAATAATAATAATAATAAGCAGGTCACATATTTTGAATTGAATATATTTTTTGGTTTCCAATGGAAACCATGATAACTTCGTAACCAACACTATGTAGTCTGCAAACGAGAAATGTGGGAACCTATCCACCTGCGCGAACACCTAGTACACATGACTGACTTGTTTCAACGTAGAACTTTACACTGATGTGCAGCAGTTCGAAGCACCGCACTCATTGCATGTAGCACAAAAAGCAAGAGAAGAGGGTAAAAAGCGATTCAAAACAGAGATAATGAACAGAAGAATTAGTGAGGTAAAAAGAATAATAATATCGAAGAACAATAAACTTTTATTGGTATTATAAGTCACAAGGAGTGAATGCATCTGCGCCAGCCATTGAGAACGATTTTGAGCCATATCATTAATTGTCTCCAGTCATTGGTTTTTGCCCTCCTAAGGATCACAACCAGAAAGCCAGTCTACACCTCTCTATGTGGCTGACTTAAACTAACTGTTACGGACTTCAGTGACTAATGAGGCCATGTTTTCGTTTGACCACTACTGGCTTTTTCCCAACCTGATACACCCTATGTCAGCTAACTTTGCCCATTGAAGAATACGGTGCCTAGACATGCGTAACACACATCCTTATCATCTCAATCAATGTAACTTCACAGCCTAGTCCTGACGCAAGAAAGACTGAAATCAGAAGACCACTAGGTTTGCGATGATACTTCTATTTTTCAAACACAAGGAGAATCAATATATCCCACAAGAGTGTGAGAGCAAAAATATATATGAATGTCCGAACAAGTGTGTGTGAACAAATCAATAGACAGTCTTAACACGATTGGCTAATTATAATGGAGTATCGATCCATATATACGTAGCGAAATATAGCAGACATGTCAACAAACACACATATTATATATAATATAAGGGGAATATACATTGTTAAAGGAGACAGGTTCATCAAAGTGAAATGGCCACAGGCTAAGAGAGCACAGAAAGAGAGACCACCATACATATATATATATATATATGGATACATATCACCTCCCCTTTTGATGAGATTGATGATTAACAGCGTGCTTTCTTGGGGTTTATCTGAAACCGTTCAGTTTGTTGTCGACGTCTGTTGCTTCGTCTGCTTGTTGAGTTTGCGGCTTCTGCTTTGTCTGGAGTTGTCTGAGCTGCGCACTTTTGCTTTTCTGTTTTGTCAGTCGTAGGTAAGTTAAAAGTATCCAAGAGAATATCCAGAGGTAGGGATGACTGTGTACTGGTAGGGATATTTGAGTTTCTTGGACGCAACTGATTGTAGTGACGGGTCCATAAATCATTACCAACTTTCACGTCGTACATAACTCGACCACGTCGTGCTGTGATGGAACCTTTATTCCAAGGTTTATGTCCTGCTCGATAGTCGCGGACATAGATAGGGTCACCAACATCAAATTTTTTTCATTCCGAAATGATGCGTCGGCACGTTTGGGTGTCGGTGGTAACATTGAGTTGTGAATCGTTCTAAGTTTGCGTCCGTAAAGAATTTCTGCCGGCGATTTCTTGTTCTGTGTTGACTCATTCGCCGTTGTACGGTACACCATCAAGAATTTTTGGATGATGTCAAATGGTGTCCCCTCTCCCTCTGCTTTGAGTAAGGCTCTCTTCAAAGTGTCGACAAAACGTTCCGCTTGGCCGTTTGACTGAGGATGATACGGCGGTGTGAACATATGCTCGATAGCATTTTGACGACAGAACTGCTGAAACTGATGAGAGGTAAACTGCGAACCATTGTCTGTAACTATGGTTTCTGGGAGACCATGATGGGAGAATATGTCAGTGAGAGCTTTGAGAGTCTGGGACGTTGTCGGCGAAACCATTGGTATAACTTCTGGCCACTTAGAAAAAGCGTCTACCACCACTAAATAATATGCACCATTTGTAGGGCCAGCAAAATCAATATGAATTCTGGACCAAGGATGGGATGCTGGAGGCCACGGTACGGGAGGTAGCTGGTGGGGTAGCTTTGCTGATTGTTGACATTTTGAACATCGTTGAACAAAGTCGATAATATGCTTATCCATATTAGGCCAGTATGCGTAGCTGCGAGCAATACTCTTCATCCGCTGAATACCAGGATGTCCCATGTGAAACTGTTTCAGGAGTTTATTTCGTAATGCTTCAGGTATCACTACGCGTTCTCCAAACATCAAGCAATCTTTTACAACACATAAGGAATCACGACGGGCAAACAGGTGTTTTAGGTCTCCACTATATTTAATCTTTGGCCAATTACTGGATACATACTGTGTAGCACGTCGTAAGGTGGCATCGGTGCTTGTAGTTCGCTGGATTTCTGCAAACGTTACTGGTAGAGATCGAACAGCATTGTCGATGAGGTTAACTGCATAGTCTTTGGTGGCGATCGATGCAATTACCATATCTTCACTTGATGCAGGATAGTCGCTAATTAGCCGAGATAGAGCGTCGGCTTGACCAAATTCGTTAGTTCGGTTGTATTTAATATCGAAATCGTATCCAAGTAATATTATTGCCCAGCGTTGTAGTCGGTTAGCTGCATGTACCGGGATACCTGATTTAGATCCGAAAATGGAAAGTAACGGTTTATGATCTGTCAGCAAGGTAAATCGGCGGCCGTAGATCATTTTATGGAAACGTCGTACGGCGAAAACTAAAGCTAAGGCTTCTTTTTCAATTTGTGCATATTTCTTTTCTGCCGCAGTTAGTGTTCGAGATGCATGCATTATTGCTTTTTGTGAACCATCTGGGAAGACATGTAAAATGACAGCTCCCACTCCGCTTGCTGAAGCGTCCGCTGCAACTATAATTGGAAGTGTTGGACTATAATGTGTCAGAAGCAATTCAGAAGTTAACATAGACTTCAACTTTTCAAAAGCTGATCTGCAAGCTTCGGACCATTTCCAGGTTGCATTCTTTTCGAGTAGTCGATTGAGAGGGTGTCGAACATTATGCAGCGCAGGGAGAAATGCCGAGTAATAGCTAATTAATCCCAAGAAAGAGCGTAAGGAAGGCACGTCAGTAGGTGCGGGCATCTCTTTTATAGCACGTATGTTGTCAGGATCTGGACGTCTACCCGATGCATCAAATATAAATCCAAGGTATTTGACAGATCTCAAGGAGAACTGACACTTCTCTGAGCGTAGTCGTAGACCGTTGTCCTGCATGCGTGACAAGACAGCTTCTGTCCTGCTGTAAAGTTCGTTTATAGAATTCGCTACCACCAAGATATCATCAAGATAGACGGCAACACCCGGAATACCTGCCAAGATAGTATCCATCAGTTGTTGGAAAATAGCTGGGGCAGTTTTAACTCCGAAAGGTAATCTGTTGTATTGGAACAAACCGCGATGTGTATTAATGGTAAGGAGTTCTCGGCATTCTGGGGCTACTCCACTTGTAGATATGCGTCAGCAAGATCCAGTTTTGCAAAATAAGATCCACCATTTAAAACAGTGAATAAATCATCCGGCGTAGGTAAAGGATAGTGGTGCTGTTCTAATGCAGCATTCAACCCAGTAGAGAAATCAGCACAAATACGTAGGGACCCATTCGCTTTCTTGACAACGACGATGGGTGCTGCCCATGCCGAGTACGTGACTGGTGTTAATACGCCTTGTTGTTGCAGTCTCTCCAATTCTTCGTCAACTTTTGGTACAGATGCATATGGAACTGGCCTCTTTGGGCGAAAAACCGGTTTTGCGTCTGGTAATACTCGAAAGGTAGCTTGCAGCGAGGTACAGTGACCTAATCCGGGTTGAAAAACAGGTGCAAATAGTTTGCATAAATCAGAAAAGGAGTTGGCTGAATTTTTATCCTTGTTAACTGCGTTGCATACAGAACTAAGTGGGACATCAGCCAGATGTAAACGATCGAACCAATCAAGTCCCAAAAGATTTAAATCACTCTTGGTGACGTAACAAATTCCTGTGAATTTGATATTGCGGAAGGAAACAGAACATTCGAGTTCACCAATTAGTTTGAGGCGCCCACCACAGGCGCTGACAGCAGTCTGAGAAGTATTTGCGATTGGTGGTCTGCCAATATTATTCCAAAGTTTCTCTGATATAACAGTAATATCAGAGGCGGTATCTAGCTGCAGACGTGCATCATGACCATTCATCTGAAGGTCAAGATATTTCCGCATACCTGGTGTTGTGACTTGACAGGTTGCGAGTAGACTCATTAACTTTTTGGGGATTTAGGACCAACAGTTTGTCGAGCTTTCGCTGGATTATGACATCTGGGTTTGCGTGGCTGACAAAAACCATTTTTATGACCGATGATTTTGCACTTGCTGCAACGATGATTTTTGTATGGGCAAGACTTTACAAAGTGCCACGCGCCACAATGCCAGCATGGTGATGGTGGGGTCTTCTTTGCAGTATTTTGTGAAGTTGGACGAGTATGTGTAGATTTCCGCGGAACATTAGAGAAGTAGGTGGGTCAGGAGTAGATGATGAGAGATTTTTGCTCTTTCGTAATGCATGAATATCAGAGCTTCTCGAAGGTGTTGATTCGACCAGGTGTGTGTCTTTCTGCAAATTAATCAGCCGTTGATATTCATCAGCTATGTCATGTAATGTTAACTTAGGATTTTGTTCTAGCTGATTGAGCAGTCGAGTTCGGATATCTGTGAAACGAGGAGATTGAAGACTGCATATGAGAATCAAGGCTTTGAATTGATCATCTGTTAAGGACCTGAGTCGAAATCTCTCACATTCTCGGTTGACTGTGCCAACGTGAGTAAGAAAATCATCATTTTCATTCATTGTCAGCTTGAGGCAACGATAACGTATGCTGAATAATGAGGAGTGGTCTCCAAAATGTTCACGCAGCAGCTTTATTGTATCATCGAAACACTTGTCACGTGGTTTTTGGGGTAAAATTAGGTTGCAGTACCGTTCATATTCTGCGGGACCCAATTTACGTAATAACACTCGCACCTTCCAAGCATCGTCTTGTGAGGCGAGATCAACTGTGAATAAATCCTCATATCGTTGATACCATGTGTCAAAAGTGACATTAGCATCTGGATTATAATTGAACTGTGAAATACTATTCACAATGCCGTCGACAGATGGTAGCATGGTATGATTGGGATTGCTTGAAGGTGAAGTTGGACCAGTCTGTTGGTTGACGAACATTTCCATTAATTTCATTTGTCGTTCAAATAGTAATTCCAATTAAGAAGGATCCATAGTTTTCCCCGTCGCCAAATTATTATTATGCACTGGTCGAGAAACTAATAGTCCTGACGCAAGAAAGACTGAAATCAGAAGACCACTAGGTTTGCGATGATACTTCTATTTTTCAAACACAAGGAGAATCAATATATCCCACAAGAGTGTGAGAGCAAAAATATATATGAATGTCCGAACAAGTGTGTGTGAACAAATCAATAGACAGTCTTAACACGATTGGCTAATTATAATGGAGTATCGATCCATATATACGTAGCGAAATATAGCAGACATGTCAACAAACACATATATTATATATAATATAAGGGGAATATACATTGTTAAAGGAGACAGGTTCATCAAAGTGAAATGGTCACAGACTAAGAGAGCACAGAAAGAGAGACCACCATACATATATATATATATATATATATATGGATACATATCAGTAATAAATTGTGATCGAAACATCATCCAGTCATCAATACTGTATCACTGTGCGTCATGCAGAGTAAACGTATCAAGTATAGAATTATATTCTACCAGTGTGCTCAAATTCTAGGCTTACATAAATCCTGTTTCCCATTGATTTAATTGTCCAGTTACTTCCTTGGATCTTAATATCTACTCACTTACAAGCACCAGTCACCTTAAACGGGAGAGATTTGACAGAGGTTACTCCCTTCACTTATCTGGGAAGCATCTTTTTAACTACAGGCAGCCGAAACGGATGAAAATGTCAAAGCCAGCCAACCACAATCGGAAAAGCAAAATGCATCTTCATGAACTTTAAACCAGTTTGGAAATCTTCCACTGTCACTCAGCATAAGGAACAAGATTCGCATTTTCAACACAGATGTAAAGTCAGTCAGTCACTTCTGCTATGCGGGCTAGAAAAGTGCACTGCGCGTCACGAAAAGCATTTCCAACAGTTTGCAAACTTTCATCACCAGTTGCAACCTTACCTCAGTACTGAATATCAAATGGGCGGCCAGAAAGAATTAGCAACAAGAAACTCTGGCTGAGAACAGCCCAACAACCTTGAGCCGATAGCTCAACAAATATGTCGGGGAAAGTGAAGATGGATTGATTGAGCTCACACGTGGTAATGAATTGGTAGGTAACGACTGAAGATGATGCAAATATGTATGTAACTCAAAAAGTTGAACTCACCAATAATTGTTTTGTCTTTTTTAAAGAGATTATGAAGGTACTCAAAATACTTTGGTTTCTTCATATTTGTAAAACAAAGTATGACTACTAAATATCCTGAAATAGAACCTGAATGTACTTCCACATTTTATTACTTATATACTCCTAATCATGTGTATGTCTATGTGTATGTGCCTCTGTGTGTGTGAGAGAGAGTGAGTGGGTGCGTATGTTTATGTCAGCAAGTTAGCAGGTTTAACTCTAGCCAACATTAATGTATTCGTCTTTATTTTTCAAATGTTTTCAATATTTAAACATTTAATCCCTATTTTTATAAACAAATCTGATGATGATTAATTAAATCACGCATTAAAATTTTGGCGGACGAATTAATTTTAAAATATGGACATGATTTTAGTGAAATATTAGTCTAAAAGTACAAACTCTAGAGAGAGAGAGAGAGGGAGAGACAGCGAGAGAAAGACAGAGATAGAAAAGATCAGAAAAATATTTTTGTCATTGAAAGCCATTTTATTTATGCAGCAAGTCGTTTTTTTAAGAAAAAAACATAATAATTGTGCAAAAACTGAATTAACTGAAGAACTCACTCAGGCTTATCTGTTATTCAAAAGTACTTAGACATATATCTGTGATATGTGTTGCCACTGTCTAATACTACAGGAATAAATAATCAGGTGTTACAATCCTGTGTATAATGAATTTCATTGCCATCAGAAAAACTGAATTTAACTTACTTAATTATCTCACTGTTGAAAATGTCTGAAAATGTATGCAGTTCTTTTCAATAACTAAGCTGCATAAAGAAGAATTAAGTTCCCTGTCTTTCATTACTTACTTTTAAGGTTTATTATCTCTTGCAATAACAATAAAAATGTTCAAATAGTATGTAATTATTCCCTTAGGAAGAAAAGTCTTCAACGGTACATTTTCACTTCACCCTATTCTCTGCAGTCTTCAAAAGCTGGCTCCAAGATTGTCCATTGTCACTCATCGCATCCTCAAACCACCTCATCCATGTCAACCACAAAGTCGCGCCACACTCGTTTCTTCCTATTCGGACAACATTCGAACGATGGTCTGCACTGCGTTCGATGTCATTCACCATTCTTCCCAATGTGTGTTCAATTCATTTTCATTTTCTTCTAAATACTTGTTGAGCAATACATCCTTGATTGGTTTGTTGTCAGCCAGAGTTCCTTGTTGCTAATCCATTCTCACCGATCATCTGGTCTCTAGTATGCACTGAGCGAAGTGGGAAACTGGCTGCTGATGGAATTCTGCAGTAGTCTGCTGGAAATGCTCTTCGTGACGCACATGCACTGCACGTTACTCACCCATATAGGAGAACTGACTGACTCGACAGTGGACGTGAGAATCTGAATCTCGTTCTTCATTCTAGTTGAGTGTAGGGGATTATCAAGCAGATTTCGAAGTCATGATGGTACACCTCGCCCTCCCAACCCTGACTTCCGCATCTTCATTTGTTCCAGGGGGTGTAGTTGAAGCGATGCTATCTGGTCAGATGAAGGAAGGAAGTGACCTCTTTGAAATTACTCCCGCTGCTAGTGATTTGATGTGGTTGGTGCTTTGTTGGTTGGTTGGTAGACTGGTTGATTGTTTATCTTCATCACCTCCGTCTTCTCTATGTTCACTTGAATATCTGTCTTCGCTGCAACACTGTTCTGACAGTTTATTAGTTTTCTTCTGTAAGTCTCTGAGTTTTTTGTGACACTTGACATACATCATCCACGAAATAGAGCTCTTCTGGAGTCTTCTTATCGGCTCAGTCTGTTGATGTCTCCTTGATCCCCACGTGCAGCGTGCCAAATAGTCCAGTCCATTACGATTATGAACATCATCATTGATGAAATTTGAAAGACGCTGCTCCCTGCTCTCATCTGACCAGGCAGCATCGTTTCAGTTACAGGCAATGGAACAAATAAAGCTGTTAAAGTCAATGTTGGAAGGGCGAGATACGCCTTCGTAACTGTCAAATCAGTTAAACAATTCTCTGCACTCACCACCAATGTTCAGTCAGTTTGTCCTTGTTTATGAGTGAGGAACTCGCACCGCATGTGCACCACGAAAGGCATTTCCAAATGGCTACTGAAGAATTCCATCAACAGCCAGCTTTCCACTTCGTTGGCTGCATAGTGAATACCAGATTATCGGTGAGAATGAATTAGCAACACAAAACTCTGGCTGGCAACAAAAGAACCAAGGAAGTATTGCTCGACTAATATGTCGAAGGAAATGACGCATACTGAGGAGACTATCGAATGACCATAGCTAAAGTGTGATGCGAATGGGGAGAAACGAGTTTGGTGTGAATTTGTGGTTGACATGGATGAGGTGGTGTGAGGATGAAATAAGTAACTATGGTCAGTCATGGAGCCAGCTTAAGAGGAGCGTAGAAAATAGGGGAAATGGAGATGCTCCTTTAAAATGCTATATTTCACTGGGAACTCAAGGGATTAATAATATTATTTTCAGTTGTAATTATAGTATAATTAACTTGTCATTCGTACGTATATTACGTGTTTTTGTAGTTATTCTTCTCATATTGTGTTTATTTGTTCTCTCTCCTTGTATCCCATATTTCACCGCAATACTTACTCACTTCTTCTCTATGACATATATCCCTTTCTCCACAGTTTGATATTTTTCTGCAGATGAAAGTTACTTTTTAAGCTACTGATAAATCTTGTCGGTTGCACACCACTACACTTCTATTCTGATTCCTAATAGGACGGAGATATCATCCGTATGGCGCAAGTATATTTCAACTTTGTTAATGCCATAGTGGAAGGGAATTTATAAAACTTTCCAGTGTCTGTATAAAGCGCCATCAGAATAATTCAGCATAATTTTAGGATTTAGAGATACTGATTCAGTCATATTCCAGAATCCTCTCTGAAAAGCAGCAAAAAGCATTGGTCATTTCTTCCTAATAATTCGTAAGGACTAGAATTTCAGAGGTCATCTCCACTTCAAAGGCATAGTTACATGTTTATGTTCTTAGTTAAAAAAAAATACTTTAATTTTTCAGTTTCTCAAGAAAAACAACACAAAGGTGAGAATCAGTCACATTAGAAAGTAGAAAGTGAATAATTAATTTGTTTGCAAATAAGATTGTTTCAAAAGTTACCCGTTTATAAATTCATATAATTATAAATAAAAAATTGCATTCGAAACGTCAACCAGTATACAGTACTCATTGATTGTATTATGAAATCATTATACAAACTAATAGGCGACTACATACTACCATAGTACCCAAAATCTTCACATATTGAGCATCGTTTCAACGCGGCAATGGCATGGATAAGGATATTGAAGCCAGGATCAGTGTACATTACGCTGAAATAAGTATAGAGATTCGCAGCACGCTAATCAGGGAACAACACCTTAATTATTAAGCCCATCGTCAAATCAGTACTTCTATATGATTCAGAAATTCGGCACACACACACATACACAAACGCCACCGAAAGTATTTTCAACAGGTCGCAAACTCTCATCAACAACCGCCTTTGCTGTTCCCATACTAAAGATACGATGGACAGAAAGGATAAACAGCAAAAAACTCTAGAAGTGTGGCGAGCCAGCCAACAACTTACTGGCCAATTATTATGCATAAAAGAATAGAGATGAACTGGACATTTGCTGATAAGACTGTTGGATGACATCACGCGCTAGAACTTTGGATGGGTACCAGATACGAAGAGATGAGTTGGCTTTGTCTCTGAGCGTGACATGGAGGAAATCATCAGAAGGGGAAATAAGAGGTTGTGTGTAAGCATAGAGCTAGCTAAAAAGATGGAAGAGAAAAGGACATAATGTAGATGTGTCTGTGAAACCCTTTTTTCATTAAGAACCCAAGAAACAAATAATAGCAATATTATTATTATCAATGGGTAAAACTAACTACCAAGATATATTGTAGTTAGATAAAGCCTAAAAACAGAATTAAGGCAACTTTGTGTTCATCAGAAGTTAAAGTGAAAATTGGAGAGAAAATGTCCTCGTATAATTATCAGAGTCCAAATTAGATACATATACTCGAAGGTAATACCTTCATATACTTCCATAATTTAGTTTCTCTGTGCATACGACAATTACTTCAGAAGTTTTAATGGGTCGGAAACACGTACCATATTCACAAATTTCACCTTACAAATCAATTGATATGCTATGATTTTTATTGACTAAGTGTTTACTTCCCGGATTTCTCATTGGATCAACTTCATCTCTTTTTAGGCAGGCGACTTAAATTCTAGTAGAATAACTATATAGGAAAGCATCCAGTAACCTATATATCTTGTTCCATTGTTTAGGGTGAACTGATACATTCATCTAATCGGCAAGATATAGGAATCCGCTATTCAGAATGATACGAAATAACTGACGACCAGAGTGTACCACTCTTGAGAAAGTTTTTTAATCTGAAGAACCTAAATTTCTTCCAAGCATATATGAAAACAGATCACATTTGTTGTATAATTCCATGTGAATTAAAGTAGAAATCTCCTTTTGATAGTTCGAGGTAAACAAGGTTTGTTTAGGATAACTGACACAAATGAATTATCCCTAGTAAACTTGATAATTTCTGGCGAAACGGTTTGGACAGTGTGGCAAAGTATCAATCAAATAAAATGAGGACATAAAACTACATTTCAAGTATCATCTGAAAAATAATACAGGTTTGTTGCGTGTTACACCACTTTGAAATATGAAGAACTCCAAGGCTGATGTCTATTTATACTGCTTCGTCTACGTCAAATTTATATAAAGCATAGATTATGAGTCTCCCAATGAAAAAACATTTAACCACATATACGTCGGTTTTTAGTGGAAGCAAAAGAAATGACGTTACATCAAGTTTTAAAGTTGTGCCCCGTTCATCTTTTTTAAATGACTGGATCTTCCTCTTTAGGACACATTATCCTTAAAATATATGAATATATTGTGAATAGGCCGCATTAAAATTTAAATTAAGCCTCACTGAAATGAAAGCCCTTTCCCTCGGATTTAACTATCAAATCCCTAATGACTTTATCAAAAGAGAACCAATGTAGCAGCTCATTTCGAAAACTTATTCTA